TTTTCTTTTTTTTTTTTTTTTTTTTTTTTTTTTTTTTTTTTGCTGCTTTTTCTTCTCAAAGGAGTGAGCAATTTGCGGGGGGTGACCAAGTACTGGATTTGCTATTGTCAGCTGGGATGATCGACTGGAAAAACAGAATGAGAATTCAGTGCCTCCCATACTAGCTAGACAACACTGTTTATCTAATAAAGTGGCAAGACCCTGCAACTATTAACATGTAGTATGTCACCAGTTTTTTCTGACAGGGAATTAGGTAGATAATATTACTCATGGAAACACAGGTTTATGAAGGTGGAGTAGGGTGGGAGGGGAAGTAACAAAGAGTTTATGGGATAAGAAACTCACAAACCACCATCTTTTTGTGTTTTTCTTTCAATGAAACAAAAGGTCTAATCGGTATCATGAGCTACTTGGCGCTCCTCCTCTGCTGGTCCGTCCTGCTCCTTCTCTGCCACCACTGGCAGGCTCTGCTGCACACAGTTTTGACTGTTTGCAGCTTCTTTTTCTGGCAGTGAGACAGTTTCTGGCTCTGGATTTGCCAATTCCCCTTTCGCTTTCTTCCTCTTCCGCTTCTGGCTCTCCAGGTTCGCCGCCTCCGAGTGCCTGGTTTGCTGGATGCCAGGCAGCGCCATGCCAATGCCAGGGGAAAGGAACATGGAGGGATAGATCAGTCCAGGAGACATCCCTGGGATAAGAAATGGGTTAAAAGCTACAGGACTACTGGTAGTTATTGCAGATTCTGTCTGATTAGAAAATGAACTAGGACCAGGCTTGTCTTCAGTGAGAGGCTCCCTTTTCCCATCCTGGCTGCCCTGTTTCTCCTCATTGGCTTTTTCGGTGCTGGCTGTGCCACCTTTCGTTGTGCTTGTTAACGAAGTCGGAGCAGTCGCAGTGCAAGTTGTGGTCATCGGGGAGTTGAGGAGTCCTCCCACACCGAACATCTGGGGTACAGTCGCCATGCCCGGGAGCATCATGGGCAACATGCTCAGGGTGCTCTTCACATCCTCACCAGAGGGCACTGCTGCAAAGCCAGCAGGAAACCCAACCAGCCCAGTCAGAGGGATCCCTTGCATATTTCTCATGTTCTGAAGTCCCACTAGATCCATCCCAGCAATTAGTCCATTCATGAACAGTGGTCCCATTCCAGAAGAAGAATCTGCTACAACACCAGGGCCTTTAAGGAGTTCATTCCGGGGCCTCCTCCCTCTCCGGCGCGGCCCAGTGTCCCGGAGCACAGGCTCGGTGAGGATGCGATTGAATTTGTTTTCAGGTAAGTAGCCCTGAAAATGAGACATAACAGAGAACACCCGACAGTTACTACTGCAGCGAAGGGAATCTGGCTTGTCCATGCCCACATCTGTGTCCCAGATGGTGTTAGCACAGAAATATTTGCCTACATGATATGGAATTTGACAGGTACACACAACTTTTCCCCAAGAGAGGCTGCCAAATGCAGAACACCCTTGCTCCACCCTGGCAGGATCCTGCACTCTCAAATGCTCAGGGAAGGGAGAAGGAAGCATGTTTTTACCCTGTTTTTCACCCCAGCCCTCAGCACCAGCTGCTCACAGTGCGAGAAGCACCGGGGCAGCATGAGGTCAGCTGCCCAATTGGCTCCCTGCCCAGCTCTAATTGTGCCTTCAGGAACAGCTGAAAAAATCCTCTTGAGATAGGAAGGGCCAAATTTTCAATGCTCTGCAGGACAGCAAAGCTAATGGGATGACACAGAGAGTGGGCATGCAGAGAGGAGCTCCTCGTCAGAACTTCATGGAGATGCCAGGGAGCATTCAGAAAGCTCTTCTGACAGAAGAGACATGGGACCAAAACACAGCAGCCAGAAGTGGGTGAGACCATCTGGTTACACAGAGCAGTGCGGGAGGATCCACAGCACAGCTTAACACTCCCGTTTTCAGCATCCTCAACAAAGACATTTAAATATTTCCCTTTGTGGTTCCCTTGGGTATCAATATCACCACTCTTTGAACCATTTTGAATAATAAATTTAGATAGGAAAAGTATTTCCTGTTGATATCTGTAGTGCAGAAGCATGAATTAGATGTGCTTGGCAGTCTGCTCAGCACAGCACCTGCCAAAGGAGGGAGAACCTTCTGGGAGCATCTCCTACTGGCACGTGGGAGAAGCTACACAGGGCCATGAGTGCCCCCAGGCTCTGTGGGGCAGCCAGCCCCAGCTCCTGCTGGCCTGAGCGCCCAGAGCTGCCAGCCATCCTTCTGCATCCCTCCCCTACCAGGATGGGTATGCATTCTCCAAAAGCTCAGTGTCCATGGGGTGGGAATGATCATGGGAATGCAGCCACTGGAGCAGGGCACAAGAGAGGTGCCCAGGCAGCGCCAGGCACACAGTGGCAAAGAGACTGTCCCCTCAAGTCAGGGGAAGGAAGAGCTGTCAGCTCACCCAGGGCTGGCTGCCCAGATGGGGCCCTGATGACAGCCTGGCCATGGAGCCTTTCCCTGGGTAGTGGGACAGACCATGTCAAATCTCCAGTGCTAAGGATAAACCAATTTGAGAGGAGTACAAACCTCTAAGATTCACCAACAGATTCACCCTCCAGCCCTCTGCAAGGTTGTCACACTAACCACTGCAGCCCCAAACCAGGCAGCAGGTGAGAGGGTCGACAGGGAGAAGTCTGGATAAGGCCAGCCTGTGGGGCAGGGCAGGACAATCTGGCAGTGTCATGCATGCTGGAGGGGAGAGTGCTCCTCCCCAGGCTCTGCCACACACCAGGGCAGGGATTGGTGGATGGACAGGGCGGATGAATGTGGCACAGGAGACTCCATCCTGCCCCTCTCCCTGCCTGTGTCTGACCCTTCAGGCCTGGTGATCTGTGGGGCCTTCAGTGGGCCTGCGGCTGTGCAGGCAGAGCTCACAGGAACTGATGAAAAGCGTCAGCTAGAGGTGTTTTGGAAAATTTGACCCATGAGAATGTTTTGTCCATACCCTTCTGTCCAGCTCCTAGGGCATTCCTCTTGCCCCTGCTACCCTAAGCACCCCAAGGCTCTGCAGCCAGGCACGCTGAACCCCGCTCCCGGGGCACTGGCCCCCTCTCTGTGGCCTGGCCACGGGGCTGGTGGTGGCACGGCCCAACCTCCCACTCTGCCCCGGTGCTGCAGCCATCCCCTCCCACACGCCCAGCCCAGGGCCTGCCTCACAGCTCCCAGATCCTCACTGGAGAAAGGTTGTGGGGATGGGGAGGGGAAAAAAAAGATGACATGATACAGATTTCTCCAAAAGCTCTAACTTACTGAAAGCTTAACAATGTCAGCCCAGTCAGCTGCAACAGCATACTCCAAGTTTGCATCAAGCCACCTTGGCAATTCCTTCAATGCTGGTGCCGTGGCTCCCCCTAACTATAAAACACAGCAGAAGGATGACCTCTATTGCAGAGACAGTTATGTAAAATAATACAAAAAAATATGATTACACTTCCCCTAGTTTCTTGCTTTGGGCTGCAATTTGGCTGGGATGGAGACTCTTGCCTTGCTACACTTGCCTTTCTTCAGGATTTGGTGTGTGCCTGCTGCTTCCAGACACACAGCTCAGGGAGAAAAGGCAGGTTCAGCCTCTGTGGCCCAGTCCACTGCCCTCCCAGGTACCAGCAATGGGGAAGAGCTTTGGTAAAAGCCATATTTAGAACTGGCAAAGTCCCCAACTCACCTAGGAAAGGCCAGCATCAGGGTAACAAAGGGGAACACAGATGTGGCTGAAACAACCTTTCTGCCTCACTCTTTAGTTTTGCTTTTAGAAGTGATTAATGTCACATCACCTTCTGACCTTGTACAGTCCTGGGTGTGTTTAAGAACTAATTTTGGTGCAAAGTACTCTGGAACACCCCGTCTTGTTCAGAGAGGTGAACCTCAGTGCCCTGGAGATTAAACTGCAGACGAGTAAATCCAAGCTCCTTGCTTAGAAAGCAAGAAAAAGCCCTTGAACCCTCTGGACTTTCTACAAGCCCAGCAGTGGGATGAGTATTGGTGTGCTCTGGTCTGTGCCCCATAAGGAGGAACAAACCAAAGGTATTTGCATGGCAATGTTACAATTTGTGGCATATTACAATGAACTCAAGGGGAACAATCAAATCCAGGATGGGAAGCACAAGACAGGACTGTGCTGAGGGTGGCTTTAAAGCCAAAGGCTGTACTCCATTGCCACTGAGGGGTCTGTGCCCCCTGGCAAGGGACTACACTTCCACATCCCTTACTTCACACAGTCACTTACTTCACAGGTCTGCATGTCCCCGGGCACGCATGTGTTATAGGATGATGTAGATTAGAGACCTCTTTCAGACTTTTGTCTCATCCATAGGCTTCTCTGGATTAAATCTCCCCCACAGGCGAGCTCAAAGTCTGCTAAGCATTTTGGGACACTGAGGGCAGAGCACAGAACAGGCCTTTGCTTACCCGCCGTCCGGTACCCTTATGTACCACCGGCACTCGCTCCTCTCCCGTCAGAGAGCTAATGTCCAGTTTGCTGGGGTCCTTGCAGCGCTGCCTCCTCTGCTTGGGCTTGTCTGAAAAATTCTGGAGTGCAAACAAGACAGTGTTAATGAGACTAGATGGCTTAATGAGCCTGGCTAGCTACAAGCCCTGCAGGAGAGCAGCATGAATGGGCTCTCAAGGGACAGGGAATCCCTGCAGGCTGGGGCAGGAGCAGCACCAGCAGCACAAACTGGTCCCTGCCACAGGAACAGCTCTCAAATGAACAGATCTGATATAAAGGGGTCTCCAGTGTACCCCACTTAGAGTGCTTTAGCCCTTTCTAACTCCCCTCGACTCCTGACACTGCAGGTTCTTATACAGGCATCTGTTAAACAGGACACTGCATACAGCCAGTAAAGAGAGAACAGGTCTGCGTGTGCCACTTGTGTCAGTCTCATACAGCCACCTGCTTCTCACCAGCTCAGCTGTGCCGTTTCCTTCCTCTTTTAGCTGTTTTCACCACAGAGATGCTGCACCAGGTTTCTTTGGGATCAGAGCCCTCTGGAACTGCAACATACCGAGTTACAGCCAAGTCATTGCACACCCACTGTCAATGTGCCTGCAGGGATGGAGCACTATAACAAACAACTCAGACAGCACGGATTCCTGAGAGTCAGAAAAAGACCCTGAGTGCAGTTCATCCTTTGAACTGAGCTACTGCAGTACCCCAAAGCCCCTCTCAATCCATCCTGCATGGAGAGAAGAGATCCTGCAGGGCTGGCCTGGGACTTTCTAGGAGCAAGAGCTTCACCAGAGGCAGGGTCAGACTGGGCAGGCTCCAGTACCTCCCTGGAAGGCAAGGGTGTTGTGAGTCTGGCCCTGGGCACACAGCTGGATGTGTCTCTGGACTTTGAAAAGCAAACACCACCCTGCTGGGCAGATGTTGGACTCCTCACCTCTCATCTCTAACAAGCTTTAAAAAGCAAATGTCTTGCCTATACTTCCAAGCTCCAGGAAATACACCCCTGCCTCAGGCACGTGATCCTCCAGGACCAAGATGCAGAGTCTTTTCTGTTTTACCATATTTCTTCCTGCTCTGTTTCATGGCCTGTGCTCTGCCTACCACATGGTCTAACAGGCTAAATAAGCTGAAACCCGTAGCAAACCAACCTGTGAAACCCAGAGGGGGAGGTTTATGAGAGAGAGGAAGAATCAGACAGTGCACCTCACTCTGAGCCACTACTTTCTGAGAGCATTCATGGCCACATGGCCACAGCCTCCAACACAGCCTCTTTGGTCTGGCTCTTAAAGAGAGCAGGTTTTTTCTTGCCTGGAACCTTATTTAGTACAACAGCACTGCCTATAATGACCCCAGGTGAAAAAGAACAACATAGACAGACCTTGAGCACCTCAAATCCATTTTCTCATTTTTGTCCCCATCCATCCCTGGCACTTCTGGAACACATTGTGCATTGGGCAGATAGATGCACTGCAGCTGAAAAACCAACCTCAGCTCCTGGAGGATGCCAAGCAGGTCCATGCCCAGGGAGCCCTGAGGGTACTGACAGTCCCCTGTCTGGGCATGTTTGTGTCCTGAGGGAAAGGAGAGGAGTTCTCCAGCAGCAAGTGCTTTTTGTTGCTGTACAGGGGAACAGCGCTCACCTCTTAAACATGTCATGAATCCCTGAACAGCCCCAGTGAACACCCCAAATCATGTTACAAGAGAAAACATAACACAAAGGGCAACACACAAGGCAGGCGCACGCACACACACACACACACACACACACACACACACACACACACGTGTCACTTAAGGCCACCCTTACTGTGCCAAAGCTGGAGACATCGAGTGTGTAGTCAGACTGCTGCCGGAGCCAGTCAAGGAGACTCTTATTCGGGACAGCCTTCTCTTGGCTGCCTGCAGCTGGGACTGGCTGTGGAGTTGAGGTAGCTGCAACCGGCCCATCAGGGAGGGGACTGCTCTGAGGGGGCTGTGGCTGGTCTTCCTGAACATCCTGCCATGGAAGGAGGAGCAGGGACAGCCCATCAGCAGTGTGCAGTGATGTATGTGCACCCCAAGAAGCACAGCTCCCAAAGCAGGTCATTTGCTCCCATTGCACAGACTAATCCAGATACTCCCAGTGCCTTTTCCTTAAATCACCACCCACCACCACATTACATTTCCACTCCATCCCCAGCACTAGTGGTAGGGAGGGAAGAGAGAGCTTAGAGATGCTTCTGAACTTACAAGGAAACACTCCAATCACCAGGAAGACCAACTTTCCCTCAGATCACTCCTAAAAGTGGTCTAGGGGCAATGGTCTTGCTCCATTCTTTAAGTGGATCCCAGTACAGAAGGCAAAAAGGGGTAGCAGGATCTTGTCTTCCTCATATTCCCTAAACCTAAACATTCCCTGAGGTGGGACAGCAGCTTCTGATAATGTTTAAAAGGATTCAAACACTCCCCAGTGCTTTAAACTAGAGGGATAACTTCCCTTCCTCCCTGTAGCATCTACTGCTGCCTAGTCCTCCACAAACCAAGTTGTCCTGGAGGAAGCTGCACAGTGTCATGGGCAGCAGAGCTTGGAGGGGTGAGCTGGGCCATGAAACATACTGCACTGACTCCACTGGGTTCATGTGAAAGGAGGGAGCATCAACCCACCTGCAGCCTGTTTGGAAGAGGCCTCTCCTTCAAGAAGATGAGGTCCATCCCTTCAACATTTTTCCTCCTGCCCCGTCTCCTCCTCATGGCAGCATCATCTCTTCGGAGGCTGCCATTTACAATCTGTCCAGTGACAGGATGGATTAATCCTGCCTGTAGGATGCCAGACAAGTCCATGCCCAGGGAGCTCTGGAGGGCATTCACGGTCCCCAGTTTGGGCATGTTTGTGTTCAGGGGGAAAGGAGAGGAGTTCCCTGGGGACCCATCAGAGCCTCTGGACAAGTCCACCGCTGCCTCGCGCCAGCCGTTCAGCACAATGGGCGGATGGACACGGGCTGCTGCCAGCTGCTCCAGGCTCCTCTGTTTGGCATCTCTCTCCATCTCAAATTCATAGGGTCTCCTGTGCTTCCGCTCATCTTTTGCAAAGGTAGGGCTCAGGAAACCTTCCTGTGTGTACAAAAGCCACAGAGGGTTGGTTACAGCTGCTCCTGCCCTGCCCAGGGACCACAGCTCCTCACCCCAGCACTGAGCTAATGGTCATCACTGCCTCTCCAAGGAGCCCTGTCCTTTCCCTGGGCATATCACATCTCTTTCCCTGTGTGGGGGTGGTGCAGGAGCACCCTCGCACACACTCAGATATCACAAGGTGTTATAAACATGGCTGCTCTGTCAGCTGCTGGGGCCCCAGACCATCAGCTCCTGTCTGTCCAATGTGACTGTTGGGGACTGGAGCACTGGGACTTGGGAGCTGGGGACTTGACAGGGCAGTGTTCCTTGCACCCCTTCCTTTGGGATATGGGTGGGATGTCCCCTTTGACCATGTCAGGCGCCCCAGTGCTGACTCTGGAAGCACCGCTAGAGCCACAGAACAGCAGCTGCCTTCCAAAGAGGGCAGCAGGGCTGAGAGCACGGGGCACTATCCCCTGGTGATAGGAGCTATCACCAGGGGTCAAGTGGCTTAAACCTTGTGTTATATACCCCAACTGACACCAGGGGGGCCCACTTGGGAAACTCCTGAGTACTTCTGGGCAATGTCTCATCCCAGAGTCCTGAGCCTTCCACCGCCTGAGGGCCTCCCTCACCTTTTGTACCCGTGACATTAAGACCCCATTACTGAAGGTGGGATCAGGGGCTTCTGATTCGGTAAAGCTGCTCCTGCTGCCGATGTTGCTGGCCATGGCTGGGGCTGTTAGCAGGCTCTGTGCCTCAAACTGCTGGCTGGAGGAAGGCCACTTGCCCTTCAGGATGGCATGGCAGATATTGTCAATGCGGTTGATGATCACACGGTCCTGCAAACAGAATTGGATAGTGGTAAGCTAAACCGGAATGAGTGACCTGTGTATGACATCTCAAGATTAAAGTCAAGCCCAGCCCAGGTGATCTCAGCTCAGCAAGGAACTGCTTTGAAGGCAAACATCTCCATGGCACAGGTGCTTGGGAAGAACACCTTGGCCAGAGCATCCAATGGGGTGCGCAGAAGAGCAAGAGGCAGAGCTGGAGCTGTGTGAGCCACTGCTGGCCAGGGCTACCCAGGAACACTTTGATACAAACTGTGTTCATTGTAACCTCACCTTAGGCCACTCAGAGAAGGAATAAAGTGTCTTCTCCTGCAGCAGCTGGGCAATGGTTGGTGCCCGGGCATCCTGAAGATCATCAATCTCCCCAGGCAGGACAGAAGCAGAATTCTTGTTCTCTTCCTCCAAGTACTTCTCTGGACCATCTAAAAAAGCAAGGGAGAATAGAACCCACCACCACCCTGCCCTTCTTCTTGTCTAGAGTTGGGAGTATCTCCTCACACATTCCCACCCCAATGCCCAGCTAGCTCCACAAAGGTCCCAAACAGTCCCCAAGTCTCCAAGAGAAGCAGCAGACTTGGACCAGGGCAGGCAGCCCAAGCTGCTCAGGAAGGAACATAATTCCCCTGAGATGAGTTTGGGAGGCTTGAATTGCAGTACCCCCACGCATGGCCATTCCCAGGTGGGCGAGAAGGAGGGCATATGCTTTTCCAAAGGGAGCTGCTCAACAGGCAGTGCCCTGTGCCAGAAAGGGAAAAGCATCCTGCATTCCATGGCATGCTCTTAGCAGAACAGCTGCTGGGGCTCAGGGTGGAGGGTTCTGGTCGGCTCTACTGGCAAATGCAGCCCCCAACACCTTTTGCTCCCAGGTGCAACAGCTAAAGCGACCTCAGATCCTACAGATGGGAGGCTAGGCAGCCCCAAGGTTTTGCTCTGCAGGGAGGAGAGCAGGTCCTTCCCACCATAGCCAGAGGTGACTGTGAACCTGAGGGAACTCTCAGGACATTACCTTGGCTCTGGTTGCTGCTGGCTTTCTCCCCATCATCTCTGTTCTCACACTCTTCTTGCTTTATGCCCTGAGGCTCAGGGTGCAGGGTCTCCATGCAGCCTGTCTGCCCCTCAGCACCTTGCCCCAAGGGCTCCCCCCTGACACAGGGAGTCTCTGCCCCACGAGGCCCCCCCTGAGGCAGAGGTGCAGGCAGGCTGAAGGGCTGGCTCTGAGCCTGGCCCGGTGAATGCTGCTGGGTGCTCTCCTCATTCAAGCCACAGTCCTCCCTGACCTCTGCCCCGGGCTCCCCCAGACCCAGGGACTCTCTCTCGCCATTCACATCTTCTGGGCAAGTGTCCTCAGGTGTGGGGAGACCAGAGCTCTGCTCCTCACCCCCCAGTTCATGAGCCTCGGGGTCAAAATCAGCCCTGGTCCCGGAACCATTCAAGCCTTCCTCGGCATCTGCTGCTGCCTCAGAGTTATCATCATCCTCTTCTTCCTCCTCATCTTCCTCACTGTGGCTCTGACTTGGCCCCGACTTTGCCTCTAATCCTTTCTCCTGCAGCAGACTGATGAACCTCTGCTCAGGAGGAACTTTTAGTTCATAGTTATGGAGACTGGGACTGTAGAGCCCGACACTTAGGACCCTTTCCATGGTGCCATGCTCAGGCAGCCCTGTTGCTGGGCTGGCAAGTGCTCCTTTCTGTTCCAAGCCTTTGCTGAGTTTGGATGGGGCACTCTGTGAGGGATTGCTCTCAGGGGTAGAAGGTGAAGGCTCAGCTTCCTCATTCTGATTGTCCATTTGGTCAGAGACCACCTGCAAACCTTCTAGGAAGGGAACCTCTCTCATGGCATCTGCATCGCAGCTGGATGGATCCTCATCCCCCTCCAGCTTGCCCTCAGAGAGTTTGGCGACGCTGCTTCCGACATCTGTGCAGCTTGGGCTGTCCCTGGTGAGGGAGCTCTGCTCGCTGGGACAGGCCTTCTCATCGTACATCATGCACACCAGCGAGTCTGGCAGTGAGCTCTCGTCGTAGTTGCTGGAAATGATGTCCCGGACTTCAGACATGAATGTTTCACAGTGTGCGTCCAGCGGGCTGCCACCAGCCTGGGACATGGTGCTGTCCACAGTTTCTAGCTTGATATGACTCTCAGCTTCGTTCTCCAGGGTTTCACAGGACTGGTCCATCTGGCTGTACACAGGGGAACTGTAGAGTTTGGAGTTAGACTGGTAAAGACAGCAAAGGGTTTCTGGGCCTGGGAGCCCTGTTCTTTTATGCTGGGCATAGTTTCTGTATGCGTCTAAAAAAGACAGCTGGGGGTCATTCATGATGTAGTAGTCAGTGCGGTTCAGGCCGTGCTTGGCAGTGCCGATCAGCAGGTCCCGGTCGTGTTTGCCACACTCCCACCACACGGGCAGGTAGAGGCTGGGCTGGCACAGCTTGAGGCGCTCGTGGAGCTGGGGGCACTTGAGCACTTGCTCGCGCACCTTCCGCAGCAGCTCGATGCGGTACAGGGTCCTGGCAGCACGCTCCTCCGTGATGGGCTCCACATAGATGTCAGGGTCTGGAGGACCTGCAGCAGGAACAGCAAAGCCAAGGACACATTATTTGGGTGGTAGGCGTTCCTCAGAGGTAGTGACGAGCAAGCTGAGTTTTAACCTTGCTCATTCTGCAGGTGAAGTGGGGCCAGTACTTGTAGCCACTGTTGAGGCCCCATTTTCCAATCTCAGTACCTTCCAGTCATATCCCACCAAATGGATACAGGACAAGACAAAACCTCCTGACTAGAGCAGCTGGATCAAGTGGCACCAGCTACAGAGGATTTCAGAGTCTTGTCTGAGCTCTGCTCCATCATCACCAGCAGTGCTGAAGCTGCCTGGACCTGCAGGCGGAGCTGCTCCCAGCACTCTGAGCCTCCAATAGCCCTTCAGCCCATTGTCCAGGAAGGGCAGCTCATGCAGTTCTTCTGATGAAGAACACCTACCTAAGGCACAACACACACACACACACACACACACACACACACACACACACACACACAAAAGGAACTGTGCCTAAGACCAGGCTCCATGACAGATCTGAGGCAAAACATTTTCTCCAGTTGTTGGAAACAAATCATTGTGCCTAAACAGCTTCCAAGGAGCTTTTCATCTGTCATGTTCTGTCCAGTGCCAGTGTAGGACCTCTACAGAGCACTCAAAGAAAACAAATGCCCTGTGTATTGACCAGGCTTCCCAAGCCTCCTGCAGTGGATCCAGGCTCCATTTATCGTGCAGCAGAGCTCCACAGTCAACACAAGCATAGATGGAGAGGACTTTGTCCAATGGCAGCAGAGGGATGCTTGGAGAGCAGCAATACAGCTCACCCAAACAACCCCCAGCTCCAGCATGCAGCTGTGCTTTGTGTGTGCTGCTCCTCAACTTGTCTCTTGTATACAGAGGTTGCTCTCTTGGATAAAACTGGTTGTGGTTTCCTGTGAGAATTCCAAGAGGTTTGTGAGAGCAAGGGCAGGAGTCCACAGGTCTGCTCTACCCTCCCACTGTGCCAGGGAGGCACTATGTGGTGGGGACAAGGCAGTCAGAAATGCATGACTGCTGCAAGCCCACGGTCTGCCAACTGTCCCCCTGCTTCCAACCGTCTCTGAAGCTCCTCCCTTGCTCTCCTGCTCCACGAGAGCAGTGGGATCTCTTCTACATGACCTACCAGTACCCCTCCATAGGCCATGCAATTTCCACTCACCATCCTCTTTCCATAAAGGGAGACCACAGACATTCTTGCACATGGCCACAAAGCTGTAGAAATACTTCTCCAGGCTCTCATCTGTCTTCTTCTCCAGTCGCGAGATGGCTCGGAACTGGGCCCAGTCAAAGATTTTTTTCTCTTGGTCGTAGATAATCCCAAAGGAGGAGACAGTGCGGTAGAAGTCTGCCTGCTCCCTCCTGGTCCACCTGCAGAGCAGAGAGGAGATGGGAGCACCACTGAGACGTGCACCAGGCAGAGAGGCTCAGAGAGCACTGTCTAGTTACTGACCAACAGTTTTGAGGGAGGTGTCAGGAGGAGCACACTGGGAAGACCACCACAGCACAAAATGCTCTGCCCTCTGGTGCACAGGGAGGAGGAGCAGAGGCCACAGGTCCTCTAGCACTCAACTAATTCCTGAAAAAACCCTCTGGCTGCTTTGATAAATCCCTGAGTGCAGCTCTGGGCTGTGCTGCCAACAGGGAGGCAAAAATCTATCCCATCTAGTCCCCTCCTGCCACATTAAGTTGTTTGACTTCCATAGAAAAGTCAATTCTCTGTACCAGGAATTACAAAAGAAAGATATGCAGACATAGTTCTCATCCAGCCCCTCCCAAAGGGAAATTGAGACTGGGGCTTGCTGCTGTAAGGATCCTAGTAACAAACACCACCCACCTTACTGACTCCTGTGGACTCCTGAGGGTCACCACCTTCCTAGCAGAGGAGAGCAGCAGTGGTGAAGGAGGAGTTCAGTCACAACACTCTTAAAACACAACTTTCACGCTGGCTTGGACCCTCTGAGCTTTCACCTTGTGGTGACCACTCAAAGGACACAGATGGTGAAGTATCCTGGGCAAATACTGGCCCAGGCAGATCCCAGAGAAACAGACACAGAGAACAGACTTGGGTGCACACAGCAGGGCAAAGGCAGAAAAAGTAGTGCACTGAGGCCTGAAGAAAGCTGCCAGTCAAATCTCAGCCTCTGAATTGCAGCTCTGAGCCAACACCAGCAAGTAGCTGAGACATGTCAAAGGAAAGGAGACAGGGTGACAACACCCACAGCACTCTCCAACTGCCCAAATACACCTGGGCCAGCATTGCCATCCCTGTTCCCAGGGGCTGCAGTCATGTTTCATTTCAAAAATGAGAACAAGAAGAAAGTTAATTAATAAATATATTAATGATCCAAATCAAGGAGCTCAATGGTGAATTTTACAAAAGGCCTCAGATTAAAGGCTAGTGGAAAACTCCTGTAAGGCAATCTCCCCTACAAAAAGCCCAGAGAATTAAGGAGCAGGAGGTAACAGGCTGCCGTGATGTCCAAAGCACAACTATTGATACCCCCACCTCGAAGAGGGGATGGTACAACTAGAAGAAGTCCAGAAAAAGAGGAAAGGGAAGGTGGCTGGAGCAGCTTCTACACAAGGAGGCCAAGAACAGAGCACAAGGCAACACACATGCCATGTGGTCATGTGGGGTCCTGCTGCAGGGACAAGTTCACAGAAAGCAAAGCCATTGAGGGCTGGTGACCACAGAGAGTCCCAATCCTGGGGTGGCATGGGATACTGGCAGCAACAGCAGCAGCATCACCCTGTGCACACCCTCCCACTGGCTGCAGAGAGCCACTCAGAGTGCTGGGACAGTCCCAACCCCCTCCCACTTCCTGGGACATAAATGAAATAGGAGCACAATGCAATCAGGGAATGTCACCACTGCGCTCCTGAGGCCATGAGCAGGAGGCAAAGCCAGTGATGTGAGAGCTACAAAGGTTGGAAGGGCACTGTCACAGACTGTGACACTGCTCATCTGTCACCCTCATCCACAGTGTGTCTCAGGGACACAACTCTCCTCGTCTGAGGCTGACTTGACCTTGAAAAGCTGTCCCCTCGTGTCCTTTCAGTTTCACCACCCGCTACCCACACACTCCAGTTTGCAGTGGAGGCTGCTTCCCAGCTGGGCTGGCTGCTGGAGCAGCAAGGCTCCCATGGCTCAGAGCATGTTCCCTGCCCAGCAAGGACCCAAGTGACTCAATGCCCTACAGCTGGCAGCACAGACAGCTCTGGTGACATTTACCCGGGTCAGTTCTGGGGGTCAAGCAATTCAAGTGGGCTAAATCAGCTTTGTAAAGGCTCCTTTGCTGCTGCATTACCTTTTCTGCATTTCTTTGTTCATCAAGTCCATCTCAGAGGCTCTCCTGAACATCTCATCCTGCAGCCAGTAGCCATGGTTACCGGGCACCAGCATCTCGGCGCGGGGAGGCAGCTCCTTGCGGTTGCAGCGCTGGTAGACAGTGACAAGGCGCCGCAGTCTGGCCGTGAGAGCAGAGGAGACAGGCCAGCAGGATCTGTCTGAGTCAGAGCCATCCTGGGCTTCAAACATCAGCAAGGACATTAGTATTTAGCACACACACAAAACCACAGGTTCCCACATCCTCTGGCAAGCTCAAAGAGCTTCCTCCCACCTTCTGCCTTCCATGGGGAGCATGAGTGATCACAGTCATCAGTAGGGGGCCATGTGACCCTGCTGGTTCACAGCCTCACCATGTCTTAGCTTCCTTCAGAGAGAGAGAGTCCAGAGGCTGAGATCAGGGTAGGGATGATGGCTCCAGGCCAGGCCATACATGGGAGAAAACTGCAGCTCCCTGCTCAGCAGTGGGGCCAGCCACCCCATGGCATGTGCCAACACTGCCCACTGCAGAGACCTCACGTGCTCATCTCATGCAGGCAACTGTATGGAGAAGATCAGACTAATGGCTTCCAGTTATCCTGGGTAGCTTTGGCTGGGATCACTCGGAACCCTGTCTGCCCTGCCACAGGGCCTATCCATAGGTCACCTGTGAGTCTGTGCATGAGGGTCCCTGCCCAGGTTGAGCTGTCTCACCCACTAACACAGAGCAGCATGTCCCTCCAGCCCAGCAATGTGTTCCTCCCACCAGACAATGCCTGGAGTAGCACTCAGGCTCAGCTGTGCCACATCAGATCCTGGGAAGCCATGGACCACACTGCAGGAGACATGGCCTCACCTGCCGCTGGCTCGTCCCGCTTCTCACTGGTTTCACCCACCCCAGCAGCCACGATGTCCTGCAAAAGGAAACTATTAGAGAGGGCTCAACCCCACACAGAACCCCCTGCACCCACAGACTACTCTACTGCCACGCAGCAGAGCTTATGGAGTCAAGCCTACATTGCAGGGCAGGCTGGGCAGCATCAGATATGTATCTAACAATATGAATCCCACTCACCTCCCGTTTTGACAGCCCCTCCAGCTTTTCTCCACTGTTCTCTTCTTTCTCCATGATGCCCCTAGGTGAGAGAATTAACAGTCCCTGGTAGTGGCAGTCCCCTGTGGCTGTGCCAGTTCTCAGGACCAAGAAGCAAAGAATTGGTGCTCATGCCATCTCTCCACCCCATACTGGGGACCAGCTCCCTTCTGCCCCCAGCTCTGCACTCCGAAGCACAGCCTGCTCCCTCCCTCCACCGCACTGCCCCAGGAGAGAGCCAGGTTGCTCTGAGAGCTCGGCTCCATCCCCTGCTCACCTTTCAGCAGCATCCTGTGCCCCATCGCTGACGCCCTGCTCGGCAGAGAGCAGCTTCTCATCTGGCATGCCCACCTTCTCCAGGAAACACAGCGCTGGGTCTGCCCGCATGGCGTTGTACCGCTCATAACCTGCCACACCCAGGACAGACAGACAGCACAGAGCAAGGCTTGAGCCTGGTTCACAAAAGCCTCCTACTCCTGGCACTCCTGACTGAGCTCCCCACCTGACTCCCCATCTGACTCTCACTCCCTCTGTGCTACCAAGAGAGTAATTCTCACTTCCAGAAATTCACAACACTTTCCCAAAGCTGCTAATTGCTCTGCAGCCCCTGGGCAGCAGGCAAAGCGAAAGGTCAGCCTTCCCATCACACCCAGCAGCAGCAAGGACACCACACAGGGTGCAGCTGGGGCAAACAGCCTTGCGCTCCTGGAAGCTGCACCGGGATTCCATGACAAGGCCAAGAAAAGACATGTGCCTTTCTCCTTGCCCTCACACAGCAGCTGCACACTGCTCCTGGCAAACCAGAGTCTACCACGAGATCTGGCACGGCCACCCTGGGCACCATGGGGTGCCTGTTCCCCACCCAAACATGCTGCTGGCACATGGGGAGAGCTGTCCTGGCCCTGTGTGGCTGTGGAGTGTGGCCATGGCTCTGCCTCTTGCACTGACATGACATCCCATCCAGCACCAGAGGTCCTCATTCCCCCACACACCAGCACCCACCAGACAGCTGGGTACACACCGTGCTTGAAGACGCCGATGAGCAGGGATTTATCGGCTTCGGCATTCCACCAGTCCACTGGGATCTCCACATAATCAATGTCTGGCAGCAGCACATCCAGCTCCCTGTGGCAGACACGGTATGAACACCCCTCTCCCACCCTCAGCAGACACTGAGGGACACTGAGCACTGCTCAGAAGGGACAGGGGGAGGCAGGAGCCATCGCTTGCTGGTTTGGGGACAGCTAATGAACACTGGCATGGGGCCCCATCATGACAGGGTACACCTCTTCCTGGGGTCAAAGAGCTGGATCTTTGGTTCCATCACAACCTGCTGCCCTCCTGCTCCTCTTTCTACAGGGCAGTGGGTGCCTCCAGCCTCTCTCCACCCTCCCCACCCAGGTCCTCTTCAGAGGATTGAAGATCCCGTCTGACCCGAACAGAATCTCTAGGGGTAAAACACTTCACACCTACCAACCACAAAAGAACACCATCTCCCCACATACATTGCTGCTGAATGGAATTGTGCTGAGGAAGGCAGCAGCCTTCCTTGGGGAAATTAAGCTTTTAAGATCAGCATATCATGCTTCTCTGAGAAGCACTGAGAGCTGAGTCTTTGCAGAAAGGCCAAGAGCTGGCAGACTGCAGGCTCAGTGCCATTATAGAGCCTGTGGGTCCCACTGTTCCCATTGCTGGGAGGGACTGCAGGCCACAGCGATGGGGCATGCTCTGCTCTGAGGCCTGGCCCTGAGACTGGGAGCAGTCTCTGTGGACTCCCACTTTGGATAAAGGCCCATTTGTCAAGCAGCATACAGAATCATTCTCCTTCAGGGTGTCCCTGTAAGTCCCCACCGCCCCCAGGCTGGTGCTACAGACTCAGAGTTGCCTCAGTAGGGCTGCCCTGGCTGCAGTCTCTGCACGGGCAGGGTGGCTGCCTGAGGGTGAAGCTTTGCCTGAGGAAGACCTGGGGTCTGATTCATCTGGAGCTGCAGAGAGCCCAGATGTGGCTGGATCAGATACCTGTGGCAGCTCTCAAGGCCAAGAAGCCTTGCAGGGGTTCACCATTAGGTCCCTACCTGGCAGGGGTGCCCTCAAAGGCTTTATCCGCAGCCTCTCCCAGTACTTCAGCCTTCAGGTAGTAGAGCATTCGCACCCGCAGCAGAACCCTGTCCCAGGGCAGAGAGGTCAGAAAAGCCAGCGAAACCTGCTCGACACCGTGTTTTCCCGCATGAAAGGAGCCACTTCCATAAAACAGGGTGGGCAGTGACTATGCAGTGTCATGCCACGCTGCTCAGCCCTGTGACCCGCTGGCCAGAGGGCTGCTGTTCAGGACATGGCTTCCATGAGCTGGAGAGGAATAAGGGTGGTCCAGCAGTGGGAGTATGGTGATCCTTGTGGGCTGTGAGCCCTTCACAGCTCACTCCCACCTTCCCAACACTAAAGGCCCTCAGCCCACTGTTTCCATGAGCCAATGTGGGCTCCTGCAAGGGGGAATTAAACTAAAAGGGGTTTTAAACTAGAAGAGGAGAGACTTAGATTAGATGTTAGGAAGAAATTCTTCACTCCGAAGGTGGTGAGGCCCTGGCACAGGTTGCCAGAGAAGCCGTGGCTGCCCCATCCCTGTTCAAGGACAGACTGAACAGTGCTTGGAGCAACCTGGAATCAATTAAGGTATTTCTGCCCTTGGCCAGAGTAATATATAAGATGTTCCTTAAGGCTCTTTCCAACCCAAACCACTCCATGATTCTATGACTCACTTATTGCAGTGTTGTTTGAGGTGCTTCTTGTAGCTGTCATCATGGAGCACCACCTCGGGGTTGCAGGTGGCAAGCCAGTCTGCGTTCTTTATCTCAGGAAGCAGCATCTGGTTCTTTGTCTTCTTCCCCTTCCTGCCTCTGGGCACCGGTGCTGACAAGCCTGTAACAGTGAGTGGCAGCCAGTGAGCACCACAGGCATGGCCAGGCACTGCCCCCAGGCACCTCTGGTGCTGGAGGCCAGGTGGGGCAGCAGAGCCAGGAGCTGGAAGAGCCCAGGCAGAGCTCCCAGCTGCAGCCTGGAGAGCCAAGGACAGGAAGTGCATGGGGCAAATGCAGAGTATGGGAGAGTCCATCTCTGTGAAAAATTTGGGAATCACCACAAAAATTGAACTGCTGTGTGTTCTCAGTGCAATGCTGAGACCAAATGATAATATGGTCCCTCGATGTGTAAAAATATCACACAGAAGGGATGAAGCCTGGAAGGGACCTTGGTCCTGGGCATAGCCCTTGAACACTTATCTTAGACACTACAGATACCTCTAAAGGTCACTCTATGGGGACAGTTATTTGGGTCAAGAGTAAGACAGTTATTTGGATAAGAGTTCAAACAAGAAGCTCCCAAATGATCAAAGAGCAGCAGACCTGCTGATCTGATCTGTAAGGGCTGTTTCTTGTACCGTGTGTCTGGAGCAGGGCTGGGGGGAATTGGATCACTGCAAGGGTGCTAAGGTACTCATTGGAAACAGAACACAGTCCCATATGTTTGACAAAGATAAAATGAGATCCAGTGGCTGGAGATGAAAATTAAACACAATACAACCTTGAAATAAGGTGTGAGTTCACAGCAGAACATGGAAACAACTCCTGGTGGGGTCACTGTTCTTTGGAATCTCCAAAGAGGGATAAGCTGCCTCCCTGGGCAGCTGCTCTTGAGGTAGGAGCTGCAAACATGAAGGGGAAAGGATGCCTGGGCAGTCTTATTCCATCTGTCTGGTCTTGTGGCACCAGTGAAAAAAAGAAAGCGTCACTATGTCCTCAATTCCTGCATAAAGACTTGCAGCTTCAAGACAGGACAAGGCCTGTGGCCCAGCTGGCTGCTGGAGGCCTGCATAGGCACCAGGCCTCTTGTCCCCAGCACCAAACTGGCCTGATGAACTCTGAGCAAATGCTGCTTCCTCAGCAGATTAGCTTGTTCCAGGATGAAAGGTAGGATGGTGCTAGATCAGAGCAGAGCTCTGAGTTGGGCTGTTTGGGTGCTGTGCTCACCCCCTGTGATCACATGGATGTCGGATTGAGGAGAGCTCCAGGATGCCCTAGCAAGGCCTTAAGGTTGTTGTTCCTTTCTGCACATCACGGATGGGGCACGACTTGCCCGGTCAGCTCTCTGCAGACACAAGTGGCACCTGAGGCTGCCTGGGGAGCCACAGCAGTTACTGCTGAAGGCTTTCCTGACTGAGGAAGGAGCACTGCTCTGTTCTCGCTGCTCTGCTTCTGCTCTTCTCCATCTTCCAACGTCAGGCTGAGATGTCGTTGCTCCTCTGGCCCAGACAACACGGAGGTTAAACAGGTGGGAAAGGCCATCCCAAAGAGTTGATGGAGAAGCTCCTGGTCACTTTGCTGGTCAACAGTCAATGCTCTTGCACTAAGGCAATCCTGACCATCTGCTGAAACCGTGGCTTGTTTGTTACTTGGCATTATCTAAATCAAGTTGACTCATAGCAGTTTATTTGCTTCTGACTCTTGTTCTACTTCCCACAGGACTCTCAAGCCCACTCCCAACTGCTCTCAGGGCAGGACTGTGTGGCAAGAGCAGGAAGCAGCAATGCCAAAATGACTCCCATTGCAGGAGGTGACTGGAATAACTTATGGCAGACAACAAAAGCCACATCTTTGGACTTGGACCATCCTTGGACACACTGCAAAAGCTAGTTGGACACTTCCAAGCAGAAGTAAATTATGATGTTGGATTTTAAGCACCAGTTATGATGCACTTGGCGCTCAGCAGCATCACCACTTCAGAACAGCCTTCCCTGTGCTCCACCATCTGGGAACAGAAGTCCCAGGTTTCAGCCCAGCTCCATTATGTCAAAGGAAGTCTGGAGAGTTCCAGCCCCCTCATTACTCACCTTGTGCCACAGATCACAAGTACAGAACAAGTACAAGCAGCACATGGCTGCTGGGCTCAGACTCTGAGCCCCATTCTCCTGTCCTGAGAGCCACAGGATGCAGGCATTGTGCTGCAAGGTCAGCCAGAGCCCTCTGGCACAGCAGGCAGTGACCACATGTCCCAGGCCACAAGCCCAGATGCAAGGAGCCAGCAGCCACTCTGTGTTCACAGATGAAGACAAAGGCCCTGTGGCTGCCTCATTCACAGGGTGGGCTCTGTGGCTGCCCCAGGCCCAGGGAAGCCTACAGAGAGCGGCCACTGTGCTTGCAGGTGGGGAGGCCAATCTGCAGTGTCCATCACTGGGGCAGAGCTAGAGCCAGAGAGAGAGCAGGGCTGGGAAGCCTCTGGGTGACCTGTCTGAAGCTAAGGATATGCTGGGAGCTCCTACACTACAGAATACAGACACCTCTAGCCAACAGATCTGTGATCTGACATGTGAACCTCAGACATACTGCCTCTCAGTAGAGAGCACAACCAGGCCTAGGACAAGGGTGCTGCTACACAGAGTAAGAGAAGGCAACATCAACTGGGGAGCACTTATGCATTGTGTAAGTCTCAGGACAAACCAACACTGCACCTCCACCCATCAGGGCAGGGACTGCAGACCCGTATGTCTGGGACAAACACCATGGTGAGGGGAAACAAAAGGAGAAAAAAAAAGGGAAATCACAAAATCACAGAATATTCTGAGTTGAAAGGGATCCATATGGATCATTGAGTCCAACTCTTAAGAGAATGGCTCATATGGGGATCAAACCCACAGCCTTGCTGTGAGATGGATGCTCAGCTGCACCCCACAGCTGTCCATGTTGCCCAGAGGCAGAGGCAGGGTCCTGTACCATGTCCATGCTGCACCTTCTGAGGCCCTGAGGAGCAGCCTGAGGCATGCCCATGCCCTGAGAGGAATCAGCACTCTCATCCCTATCAAACTCAACATGTTCATACAGTCACTGGTGTTCATGAGCTCACTGCCCAGCATCTCCCTGTACAGGAGAACCATGACAGTATTCACAGGCCAGAAAAGACTTAGCAGCACTTCTGCTCCCACCACAAGGCTCTTCTGCATTGAAAGCCAGAGAACAGCCTTGCTCACTCAGCCAGCCCCTGCTGCTGGCTCTGAGAGTCAGTATGGAGGTCAGCTCCACGGAAGCCCCTTTTTCAGTACTGAAATTGCAGTACTGAAGCACAAACACTTGCAGACTGCTTCCATCAGCTCTGCTTTGAATTCTGCAGCCACAGTCCTGCAGGCTGGCACAGAGCAACAGGTACAGATACAATGGCAGAGAGAACACGCAATACCTGAGTGATTCTGCAGAGCCTGATTCTGGCCATCCTTTGTCGGCGTGATGAGATCCCAGATAAAACTCTTGATCTTGTCATCCCCTTTGTAGTGTTTGACGCAATACACCAGCAAGGCCCGACAAATCATCTCCATGTCCTTCTCATTCAGGTGCCACTTGAACCGCCCATGGGTCAGGATATCTTTCCAGCGTCCCCAGCTGAAACAGCAGGAACACAGAGTAAACACTCCTGTGCAGTTAGAGACCTTGCTGGAACCTCTTTCCAGGAGCTCCTGCGAGGGCACAGCCCTGCCAGATCCCCCAGACAGGGATGTTTTGCCCACACATTACAGGAGGAGAGAGGGAGAGAGGTTTGCAGGACTGAACAGGGAAGAGGCAGGAGCAGACTCTGGAAGTGCCAACTGCCAGCTTTGTCCTGCTAATTCTTCTTCCATCCCAAACATTCACTTAGAGCCCAGGTCCCACCAGCGAGGTCACTGCTGGAAGGAGACAACACAGCAAGCAGGACCGACAGTAAGTGGCTGGTGCAGCCAGTAAGTGCATGTGGGCACTGGGGCAGCTGGAGGCTGTGGCTGTGCTCTCACACGGGTGAGACTCACCCAAATATGAGCAGGTTCTTCTCCACACGGAAGCACTCAGCCCGCAGGTATCGCCGCGTCTTCTCGTTCAAGCGCCGCGAGCGTGTGGGTCGCTCATCCGAGTCACTGTCCAGCTCAGAGAACTCCATCAGCTCGTCCTCTTCGAAGGAGTTGTAATGTTTGGTTTGCTTCCGCACCCGGGGTCTGTCAATGACCAGGCTCTCCTATGATGGACAGAGCAGACAGCACTCTCAGGTACAGGCAGAAACACCTATATGTGCTCTTCTGGCCCCTGTCTCCTGGGCTCTGTTCAGCCTCTGGCTCCTGGCTTGCCAGTCCAGTGGCTGACTATCACCTTCCCACTAGGATACCTGCTTCAAATTACCTGTGTGCAGTTCTGCCTACACAAGTGACAACTCCTGACCAGCACAAAATTCAGCCTGCCTCTCTGTGTCCAAACTGCTGACTGCCAGAAGCTGACTCAGCTCTGAGCCACTCATGGCCCTCTCTGCATTGCCTGTGCCAAGTGCTGCACTGAAGGCAGTGTAATCTCTGTGTCAGGGGGACAGGTGGGCTGGAAAAGGAAAAGTGGCTTCCAAGAAGGTGCAAGAGGGAGCAATATTAAATTAAATAGCATGGACCTGCTCCCCTATCCTTACACTTTCCTGCTGAATGAACTAATGTAATGTAAATCTGCCTGGATTTCAGGTACACGGGACACACACACACACACACACACACACACACACGCGCGCGCGTGCGCACGCATGCACACACTCTCTCTCTCTCTCTCTCTCTCTCTCTCTCTCTCTCTCTCTCTCTCTCTCTCTCTCTCTCTCTTTCTCCCCCATTGCTCCAGCTTGAACAGTGAGCTCTGCAGAGTTGCAGGACCTTTCTCCTGCTGCTGTCTAAAACCATCTCGTACAGCATGGGGCTGCACTGGAGCCACTGGCAGCACCCTGTGCCTGGTGAAGGAGCTGGGAAGAGAGACCTGAGCTGCAGCCAAGCCCATCACCTCAGCAGGGCCAGCAGAGTATTGGGACTCCATCTGTCCCATCCTACCTCCTGACAGACAGAGGTACCAGTCAGCCCTCAGGAAAGAGAGCAGAGGGGCAGCTCGAATCGCTGTGCTCTGGGACCAGGGACAGAACTCATGGGAATGACTGGAGCTGCATCAGGAAAAGGTTCTTCTCCCAGAAGGTGGTCAGGCATTCAACAGGCTCCCCAGGGAATGGGCTCAGCTCCAAGACTGCCAGAGCTCAAGAAGCATTTGGACAATGCTCTCAAGCAGAGCGTGAGATTGTTGGGAGTAGCTAGGAGTACAGACTGAGTACCCCAAAAGATCAGGGAGACAGACCAATATGTGGCTAAATAAATCAGGGCTTTAGCCAGCATTTGTGGGTCAGTCTTCCCTTGCAGTAATTCTTGATGCCAAACAGAAACCTCTTCAGGAAGCTAGAGGAAGCATGCAGCTCCCACTTGGACACCAGGCCCCATGGTGCCAGATCAGCTATTGGGCACAAACTGCATCCTACCTTTTCATTCTTGGCATCTGTATCAAGCTCTGCTATCTTGGCCCACTTTTGCCAGAAGTTGGGGTCATCTAAGGAAATGTCCGTTCTGTTTCCTGATGCTACAAAGCTGGCCTAGGAGAGAAAGAAGAGGAGTGAACAGGGTGCAACCCACCATCCAGGTGTGCTTTCTTCCATACAGAGATCCCCCACATGCCAGTCTGAATGCACAATCTTGCTGTTGTGGGATGTTACACCCTAAGCTGCTATGTGCCAGAGGGCTCTCTGTTTGCCTAACGGAGCTGAAACCCTCTGTTCTGCAGTCATGCCTGACCCACTGTAAATGAAGGCTGGGTTGTGCAAGAGGAGGAGAGCCCTTAGTGGCCCCAGCAGGCACCAGCCAGAGCATACCACAGAGCTGGCTCCTCAGGCTCTGTCTGGGGGTTTTGTCAGGCCCCACAGCACTCAGCTTCCACATGGCACAGCAGCACCTGGCTTCAGGCACCCTGCAGCCCAGCAGCTGGGTCCTGCCATTATCCTGGGGTCCCTATGGAGAGCCAGACCTCATGGCTGAACCTTCCTAGGCAGCCTTCTATCACCTGCCAGGCTGGTGGCTACTCCTCAATGCTCTGCTGACCACCAGAGAGACAGGAGACCACACCAGCCCCAGCATAGCCAAGGTCTCACTTGGCACACTGAGACAGCAGAGCTTGGCCTCCACGTGGACATGTCTCCATACACAAGTAAGAGGTTGGACAGGTGTCCACACACAGGTAGGAGGCTGGCTGACCACTACTGCCCTGCATGTTCTCCTTCCTCCACCCCCAAAGAAAATCCCCCTTCCCTCCCACTGGAGCACAGCATACCTTTGCAAATGTGGAGCCCTTTCCTTCAGACTGGATTGTGATGGTCTGTGTCCTGCGCTGGAGGATCTGATCAATGTCTTCCTCACAGAACTTTGACCCCTCATCCTCCTCATCCATGAGTGCGCCATAGGCACCCTTCCGCAGCAGGTCCTCCACCTCCATCTTGGAGAGCTGCTGAACCTGCTCAAAGCACAGGGGCATCACCAACCTGGCCAGCAACCATGACCACTGCACAACAGGAGAAGGCTCCTCCCTCTGCTTCAGGAGAAAGGGCTCTAAGCCAACCCAGACTTGCTGCTGCCAAAGCAAAGAGGTCACTTCAAAACTCTTTCTGAGGGACTGTCAAGAAATGCCACTCCAGACACAGCATCACATATCCCCTATCCCCATGGCAGTGCAGGAACAGCCTGGCAGCCCAAAGAGCAGCAGCGCAAGTGTGTGGGACTGGGCTCTCCTTCCTCAAAGCCTGCCCAGTCCCTGCTCTGACCTGGCAGTGACTTGCAGGGGGAGGAAGAGAGATCTCCTGCAGAGGCTCCCACCCGGCCCTGCTCCAGCAGCCAACCTACCCCATTGGTGCTGCCCTTGCGGTTGATGTCCTGCAGCACAGCTTTATCCAGGCCCAGCTTCAGGCTGGCCTTGTCAAACATCTCCCGCTCATAGGAGTTCCTGGTGATGAGGCGATAGACCTTCACGGCCTTGCTTTGCCCAATACGGTGGCAGCGAGCTTGAGCCTGTCAGTGCAGAGGGCACAGTGTCAGTGCAGGGAGCTGAGCTGTAAGAGGACTGTGTGACTTGCGGTACTCTGCATCAGCATCTACACTCAACCACAGTCACCTCCCATCCACCACAGCACCCTCATTTCCTGCCTGTGGCTGACCTGGCAGGGCTCTGGCACAGCCTGCACAGCTGTGGAGCAGGAATGAGAGATCCCAGCACCCTCAGGTAAGGACACAGGGCTCAGGCTGGAGCCTTGGCTCTCTGCAGATGTTGCACACAACACTGCACCCACTCCAAAAACAGGTATGGACACAGTGCTGCCTGCTCTGTGGCACATCAGTGTTTTCAGAGCCAAACTATGATCCCCTCCATGTCCTTTCCCCCGCTGCCGACATTCCTGCCAGTTGTTCTGACACCTCGTGCCCAGTACAGCTGGTGCTGCTGCCCTGTTCTCCCTGCCCGGCACAAGTGATAGAAGCTGTGCCTCAGGACCTCCTGACAGCCTGGCCGTGCCCAGCCCATCACCTGAAGGTCATTCTGTGGGTTCCAGTCAGAGTCGAAGATGATACAGGTGTCAGCAGCGGTCAGGTTGATGCCCAGCCCGCCGGCCCGCGTGCACAGGAGAAAGACAAAGCGATCCGAGTCGGGTTTGCAGAAGCGGTCGATGGCAGCCTGGCGCAGGTTGCCGCGCACCCGCCCGTCGATGCGCTCATAGGTGTACCTGCTCAAGACGGGGAGAGGTTAGAGCAGAATCACAGCAGTGCCTGAAGAGACTGTGGCCTTCAAATCCCTTTTTGTTCCTTCCCCCAGGCTGTGTGGGCACACCAGCCAGGACTTTCTGGCATGACCTTTTGTGTGCCCATGTAGAGGCCCAGGCCCCATCAGCCTGCGTGCACTGTGGCTGCTCCCAAAAGTTGTGCCCCTTAAACAAAATCATCACAAACCCCATGCATGCTGCATGAATATGGGGTTCATGGGAACCAGGACCAAGGGAAGGATTTACTTCTACCTGTTCACTCTGAGGACTAGTCCTAGACCACACAGAATGAAAGGTCTGAGGTGCTTAGCTCTGGGGTCTCTGCACCCATCAGTAGTACAGGGCAACTCAGATCCATCAGTAGTACAGGGCAACTCAGATCCATCAGTATGTGGGCACGGAATGGTGAAATCCCCACCCTGTTGCCACTGTTGCCTGTTGCCACTCTATGTGCAGAGCATGGAGGTACTGTGGAGGAGCCGTGGTGAATGCTGGAGCTTGTACTAACCGTCTCTGGATGAGATAGTCCTCCAGGATGTCAAGGCAGCGCACCATCTGTGAGAAGATGAGCACCTTGTGCCCACCAGCAATCAGCTTAGGAAGCAGCTTGTCAATAAGCACCAGCTTCCCAGCTGCCTGGATCATTGCCTGCAGCTGGAAATCTGGTGCCTCTGGGCAGTGTGTTTTACGGAAGTCTTCCAGGATCTTCTCCTCTGCCCCTGCCAGGTGAAAAGAGATGTGAGTTCTTGGCAAGACTGGCAGTGCAGCTGCCCAGGGCAGCAGCAAAGGACCACATGAGCAACAGAACTCAGGCAGTCAGAGCTAGGGAGGCTGACTAGAGACCTCCTGCAAACCTTCCGCTCCTGGGACTAAACTTCTGTAGGGCTCACATCAGCTCTTGGCAGAACAAGTTAGGCTGGGACATTGGTCCTATGTTGGAACACCCCCAAACACAGTGAGCCTCAGAAGACCCTAAGGAGCCCATCAGCAAGCAGCCCTTGGAGGGAGCTGGTCTGCCTGGGAACGCAACAGGACAGAGCACTGCCACGCCATCAGCAGATAGTACAAGGCCTGAACTGGCTCCCTAGCTGGGCAGGTTCTGCTGGGAGTGAACAGTAAATGTTGCAGCGATACCTGTGTGTCCCCCAACAAACCCCTGTGCACAGTCCTCACCATTGATGAGGTATGGGTGATTGCAGCACTTGCGCAGCTCCATCATGGTATTGATAAGGTTGGGCATATTGTGCTGGTTGGCACCCTTGGAGAGGAAGGAGAAATTCTTCTCCAGGATGGCCCGGTAGTATTTCTTCTGGATATTGGTCAGCTCCACCTCAATGATGGTCTCCTGCTTGGGTGCCAGATTCTTCTCTACATCATCCTTCAGCCGTCGCAGCATCATGGGCTTCAGGATGGACTGCAGCTTCTTCACCTGCAGAGCAAGCACAGACACTCATTGCCCTCCCTGCACAGCAGCACATGAACCAGCAGAGGGGTCTGCCAGACTGGAGCCTCCCCACGCTGCAAACCCACTACAGGTGACTAGAGCAGCTGCTCAGCAGCCAGCCAGGACAACTTCAGGGGCTGGCGTCCTTGGGGCAGTCATGAACCAGTCCCAGGCTATGAACTCCACATGCCTCTGCTGCCAGCAGCCTTAGGTGTCTGATACAGGAGGAGAGCTGAGAGTTTGGATGGTAGCTGAGATGGTGGTTGCTTCATGTGCCTGTGCCTACTTCCACAGAATGACAATCTTTGTACAATTTCCACATTCAAAAGGCAGTGGGGCAGCCCGGGCAACTAAGCAGCTTCCCATGACCCATACTCAAGGAGAGTTTTTAAGGAAGGCTCTTCAGGGGAACCCGACAAGGCTGATTGACACATGGACTTACTGACCTCCCCATTCCCCTTGCACTCTTTTTGGTCTCAGAGACAGACCAGGAGGGAGAGGCAGATAAGCTGTTCTACTCAGGCATGCAAGGGCAGCAGGGAGTGAGTTGGGACTAGAGCACTGCCTTGGTAGGGGCAGGTCTCCTCTCCCCAGAGCAGTGTTGGGGCTCTGTCAAAATTTTGCTTCTTTTGAGGAGTCCTATCCACTTCCACGAAGCACATGTCTGAATGCATGTCTGGTTTGGTCACCAGGTGTCCCAGTGGCCTGTGCTAAGTCACTGGTATCATTGCTCCAAGTACCTGCTCCTCTGTCTTCAGGTCTCCAAACTCTTCCAGAAAGGCTGTCTCTGAGGGGAACTGCTGTGGCTCCAGAAAATTTAGGAGGCTGAAGAGCTCCTCTACCGAGTTCTGCAGGGGGGTACCTGTTAGCAGCACCTTATGCTCCTGGGAACACAGAAAACAGGTTGAGGGCTCAACCCCATTAGCTGGGGTTGCAGGTGTCCCAAGAGCACAATGCTTCTTGTCTTCCAGCCTAAGAAGCACTCTGGGTGGCCTAGGACCACATACACACCGAGAGGCTTCCCTGGCCATGGTGACAGCCCTGACCGAGTCACTGCCACACAACACTGTCTTGTGGCTCCAGGACACTCCCATGCACATGTTCCAGTCCACCTCTGTGCAGCAACAGCCAAACTCAGGATCTCACACTGCTCCCAGGCTTCAGCCCTGCCCTGGCACAAGAGCGTCAGGTAGGGCTGTGCTGGTGCTGGACAGGGGTGCTGACAGAGCCCAAGCTTCTATGCAGCAAGGGGCAGGATGCTTGTCTTCAGGGCTCAGAACAACTGGGAACACCACCTAGAGCCATGGGACACCAAGGGGCAGCACTGGCCTGCTGCTAGGGACAGTCTCAGCAGGGTGCTCCAAATTAGGGTATGTCTGTGCACTTGGAACAAGGGGGAGCTTTTCTTAAGGGGTTCACCATGTAGGTACATGTGTAGTAAAAAGAGATGAAGTCCAAACAACCCGCAAGACCTGGGTCTGTGAGGATCAGATGATTCCTCAACGAGAATGCTCTCCCTCCCATGCCTGACACATGGGCACCACCAGGTGCTGGTCCTGGGTGCACCAGCTCTTCTGTCTCAACACTGTCAGAGCCTTCGGCTCACTACTCAGGCTAATCCTCCTGCACAGTCTAGTGCAGGAAATGTCCTCAGGAGTGGCCTGCTAGGAAAGAAGGGCAATTTTAAGATAGGAGACTCCCATAGGAGTTGTACAAAGGAAGGTGATGGTTTAGAAGAGGGACCAGTAGCAATCCTGCTTTGACCCAAGTTCACAATGCAGTAGAGCCCTACACAAGATACAAAGTCAGGGGAAACAGCAGGGTTTTTTGGAACTCCTGGGAATCACAAGACAAATTATTTTCAGAGCCCTGGCCCAGCTACGAGTGTGGTGGAAGCTGAGTACAGCTGGAAGATCCAAAAGGCCTGCTGGCCCTTGGTCCAGGTAACAGCAGTGCTGTTTATCCTGGCTGGAAAAGAGCTGGACATCCAAATAATTTCCCAGAGCAGCTCACTGATCCCTTTGTTAACCCACCCCTGGCATGGAGTAATATGTTTGCACAGCAGTAAGAAACCAGTTCGAACACCACAGCCCTGCCCAGTGTAGGGCACAAGGTATTGTGCAGGACTGGTCAGCAACTGTCCCCATGTACTGCAGCAGCTTACACTGTGCTGCAAGGCTGGGCAGGGCTCTGGCAGTGAGCACCCCCAGGTGGTAAGGCACAGGGGGAGGTAATATCCCACTTTGGCAAAAAGAAGTGTGTGAGGGCTGCAGGGCAGCAGTGCCTTGTCCACCAAGGGGCCCCCTGGATGGTTTTCCTCCAGCCTGGCACAGGGCCTAATCTGCTGACAGTGGCATCTGACTGCTCAGCGTGGCCATCTCCAGCACACCCTGTGAACCCAGGCAAGACATGCTCACCAGGGCCATGAGCTTCAGCCCCTCCAGGAGTTTGCAGTTCCTGTTCTTTAGACGATGTGCCTCATCAATGACCACACAGCGCCACTGGATCTTTTTCAGCTCTGGACAGTCAGCAAGGATCATCTCAAAGGTGGTGATAACCACCTGGAACTTGAAGATCCCAGGGAGAGGGTTACCCTAGGGAAACAGAAACCAGAGTTTGAGGTCTGCGAGGTGGCAGCACACTGTCAGACCTCCTGTCTCACAGTGTAAGCATCTGACTCTGAGCTGGAATTTCCCCAGAATAATCTCTCTCAAGCATTGGGCAGGGTTCTGCAAGCCTCCTTGATGGCTACAGGCTGTATATCTCCAATCCAGACACTGCCCCAGGGCAGACACATAGGCCTGGACAAGAACCAGGGCTATGCTGCACCCTCCCCGTTGTGCATGTGCCGTGCCTGTTCACTCACACACAGTGCAACCTGAGCCCATGCCAGCAAATGGGGCTGCAAAGATCACCTTTCCTTCCCTAAATGAACAAGCTCCACAGGCAGCTCAGTGCTTCCCAAGTAAAGGAAGCCAGGGCCACATGCTGGGAGGGCTGTGTGCATCAGTCAGTCACCTGTGTGTCCCTGTACACCATCTCGTACTGCTGGATCATCTGCCGGCTGATCTGGCTGCCGTGGTACACGATGGCGTTCATCTCTGTCCAGGTGCGGAACTCCCTCTCCCAGTTTGTGATGGTGGAGAGAGGTGCGATGATGAGGAAGGGGCCATGGATGCCCATCAGGAATATCTCTGAGAGGAAAGTGATTGACTGGATTGTCTTCCCCAACCCCATCTCGTCAGCCAGGATGCAGTTCTTCCTGCAGAGATGGACAGGGTCAGGTCAATGTGGCTCTTGGGGGCAGAAACCACTCTGTCACCAACTCTTTGATGGGATGTCAGGCAGACCACCTCTGGCCACACTTCTCTGACCCTCCAGCATGCAGTATGCAGGGACTTTGGTATAGCAGCCCAAATATGTCTGGGTAAGCCAGCCAACTTCTTGTAAGGTCATGGATTCAAAATCAGTATGAAAGATACTGGTTTTCTGATGGCCTGCTGCAGGCAAGGACATGCATATTCCCACCTCCCTGCCACACAGTGAGTCACCAATAGCCTGGCCAATACCAAAAAACCAGGTGTATGTTAGAACCATAGCTAAGCCCTATTATCTCCAAGACTCATCAGCATATACCAGGGAGAAACATTCCTAAAGATTCAGTTGCAAAGCTAAAGCAAATACACTGTTTCTGGCAGCTGCCTGCCAGCTCCAGCGCTTGAAGGACTCAGTGGCTGCTCTGTCAGACCCCTGTTTGTCCGCTCTGCTCCCCAGCTTCGCTGTTCCCATCACAGCACACACATGGCCTGCTGCCAACAGGACTGCTCATGGCAGCACTGGGCTCCAGCCCCTCCTCACCTGTTATACCAGTTAAAGAGCAGCCAGTTCATTCCCTCCAGCTGATACTCCCGCAGCTGGTTGCTGTTCTTGTACTCCCGGGACTTCTCCAGCTTCTGCCAGGACTCAGACGCTGGGCGCTCCTAGGAGGGGACAGAGGGAGCAGGTCCATGGGAGATGCTACTGCCCAGTGAGGCCAAATCACACTGCTGGGGCTGCACATCAGGGACAACATTTCAAAGCAGTCACTGACAGCTGAGTCATAGCAAGGGTTTGGTCTATGGAACCCACCCTCCGACCTCCAGAGGGGAGGATACAGGGCTTGCACTGCAGCACAGGGACAAGGTCAACACTGCTGGACTGTGGCAAGACACAGCCAGTCCCTGCGCCCAGGGCAGAGAGCTGCCAGCCGGGTACGTTACCTCAGGGTACGTTACCATGTGCTTGCTTTCTGGAGGAATTTGGAGAGCTTCAAACTCTTTAATCTTCCCTGGGTCAACATCCTCCTCCAGCTCCCAAGTGCTCTCCTCATAGGGCAGTGAGCACCACTTCACCAAGTAGTGAGTCACCTCCTGCAGCACAGAAATAAACAGGCTCAGAGGCAGGGAGGGTCAGCAGCCCTCCACTCAGCCTGTGCCAAAGGCCCTTGGAGACAGGGGAAGCCTGTGCAAGGGAAGGCTGGGAAGGCTCAGGGTGCTCAGAGATGACCCACAATGTACACCATGAGGCCAGGCCTCCTGTCAAGTCTCCCTCCTTCCCTCCATGGGGCAAGTAAGAGATGCAGTCTCTCACCTCCCCAGTGTCAGGGTCCTTTGTGTGAGCCACCTCCAGAATTCTATCTACCTCCACGTAGTCAGGGTTGAACAAATCTTCATCAGGCTGTGATGGCAAACAGTAAAACAGGAGGTAAGTTCAATGTGATTCCAGGGTTAAACAGATGGGCACAAGTAAACAGCTGCGGGGCATCTCTCCCCAGGATACTGCTAGCTGTGTGCAACACACCAAGTGCCCTGGACACAGGTACAGACGTCTGTCTCTCAGCAGGGAGGATGCAGGAACCTGGCAGAAGGCAAAGCTCTTTCTTTAGAGCAGTCACATGCTCCATGCTGCCCTTGCTGGAAGGCAGGAATGTCCTCTCCAGCCTATCAGGCCCCAAGGTACAAGTCCTAAACTGTCTACTCCAGCTGATGTGCAGCATCCAGAGCTGTGACAGCCACAGTGCACAGCACCCAGTGAACCACATGGCTGCAAGGGGTGACACCTTCGTCTTTGTCTCTGCCTCCCTCTTGCCCCACTTGGCCTAGTCCTTGGAGAGACATGACCTAGGGCTTGGGAAGGAGAAAAATCAGATTTCTACACTCACAACTTCCCAAGCCCCAGTTAGTTATAGGAAAAGAGCATGTGCTACTTGCTGAACTGTTGGTGGTACAGAGTGTTCCAACACATGGTTTTTTTTTGCATCCTGAGAAAGACCCCAAACAGACTCGTGAGTGAGAAATTTGACACACACCCCCAGCTCTCCAGCTACAAAGAAGAAATTTTCATAGCCTACTGGCCTGATTTACACTTGAAAGGGGCAGTTTGAAGCGATCTAACAACTATCTCTGGAGCAGCAGGATAAATTATAAAACACCTTTCATACTAAGCAAGATTAATCTTCTTATAGAGAAGAGCAGGCAGGAGCTGCCCTAAGCCCAGATACTTATAGCTCCCTCTCTCCCACAGCATCTCTGCTCCACCACAGAAGCACCTCCAGCCCTATATACTGCCCTCCTCACACCAAGCAACTCCTCCAGAGTTGGCAGTGCCCGGCAATAATTCCATTCTTCCATTACTGCTCATAATTCCACCAGTGACACTAGAGGTGTTCAGGGCACAATCACAGACCCTCAGCTCCAGCCCTGGTGCCTTTGGCCTGGAGATGGACTGGTCTGGGCAGCAGGGCCTGCTCAGAGTCAGGCACCACTGCTACTGTGCTACACTCTCACCTCTGTAAAAATATGTTTCATCTGAGCCTGCTTGTTCCGGAAGCGCTTTATCTTCTGTGAGATCCTGGGGTCCTTCTCCAGCTCCTCCAGCGTTGCCCATTTACAGTGGAGGTAAGAGCTGCAGGGGGAAAAAAATCAACAACATGTGACAAAGAGGCCTTTGGTCCCAAACCATCCACCACACAGAGCAGCATGGATCTCCCAGCAATCCAGAGAATGCCCAGCCCATGCCTACGCCTATGCTTATGCCACCCCAAACTGGGGAAAGCCATGCCCCAGGACCAAGCCAAGACCAAGCACTGAAGCTGCAGCAACTTCCTTGCTTCCTACCACAGCTGGCTCAGGAGGACAGTGATGCCTTAAATTTTAGCTTTAATATTTTCCAATATTTTATTTAATTTTTTTTAATTGCAAATTCTGTACTGCATTAGTATATAACTCTGAACTTCATATAAAATGTTAGTAAGTTCTTTTCACAGTTTAAATCGACAAAACAATCCTTTTCCAGCCTGAGAAACAATGACACCATTGCAGCTTCAGGCCCAAAAAGTATGAACAGCGAATTGAGGAGAGCAAGCTGGGAGGATGGGACTTCATAACCTGAAGCTGTAACTGGACAATTAACCTAAATATATAAATGGACCAAAACTTATAAAAGTGTGAAAACTCATGACCCGTTGTCCATCCTGGGTGTACCTTCAGCCAGGGTCTTGTACTGCCCAAGATGTATCCTTTGAAGGCCTTTTAATAAATCCCTACTTTATTCCTTTAATACTGTCCAGCCTCTGTTCTAGGTAGCCTCTCAAGGCATCAACAGGGGCAGGAAAACAGGGATGCTGGGGCTGCAGCTAGGGGTGGGATGGAGGTGGGAGTGCACAGTCCTTGCTCCTCCATGCACAGGGCCCACAGAAAAAGCACCACAAGTACAACACTGCACGTACAAGTTCCTGTACTTGACGTAGAACTCCTCTGTCTCAAATGCCAGGCCTCCAGGATGAGCCTGAAACCAAGGGAAGGAGAGTCAGTGACAGTCAGAGACTGTGCAGAAGCTGGAGGGGCATGCTCAGCCATCCCCTGCCTGGCCACAGGCTCCATGGACTGAGCCCCAGGGATGGTGAGGACAGCCAGGCACTCATTGTGCTGCTGCTCCAAAGATGCAGTAGCCCTGAGGAACATGACATGAGACCATCCGTGAGCATGGGGGACTCTAACACCTTCTGGGCATCAGCCCAGGCCTGACTCCTTTCCAGAGGCTTTCTGGTGCCCAGGACAGGAGAGGCACCACATTGATCCACAGCTCAGAAAGGTGACAATCTGGTCACACCCCAGCACTCCACCACAGAAGCAAGAGCACCAACTGCTACTACGTCTCATGTCCCTGCTGCACAGGGCAGCCAGGTCCCATCCGTCCTCTGATCAGGGACTTCAAGCCCCACTGACATCTTTGCCACTCACCTCCTTCTGCACCATCCTGGAGGCAAGGATCTTCTCAATTATATTGGCATCATCCTCAGGAGGCTCCTGTGGACAGGAGAAGAGAGCTCTGTTTTTCTGCTTCATCACACGCCCCTGGCACTCTCCCAGCACTGAATGGCTGCTTGCTCCTCTCCCAGTCCTCCAGCTGGGCAGACAGAGTCAGCACTGGGAGCTGGGAGAGCTGTGCTTGGGGAGCCCCTGCTGCGTGTGAGGGTGTAGACGCTGCCAGCCCAGCTACACTCACCCTCTGCCTGTCCTCTTCAGGCTAGCCAGGCCACAGCATTGTCAGGTTTGCTCTGCGGGTCCTTCCAGCTACACCAGTGCAGCCAGAGAGGGTGGAAAGCCTCCCAGAAAAGAGGAGGGAGCTTGGGCACTTCTGCCCATGGATTCAAGGAAGGAATTACGCCAAAATGTGCACATTCCTGCTCCAAGCACTCTCCATGCCATGTTCTGGTTATGCCTTGGCAGCTATACAGCCCCATAATGCGGTATGGCCCCAAGGGCCTCAGAAGAGCAGGCAGCATGTCTGTCAGGCCCTGCCACATGTCACCCACACACTGTCATCTGCCCATGGCCACAGGACTCTCTGCTGGCACCCAGGAGTTCCCAGCACAGCTCCTCTTGCTGTGCACAGGCTTTGCTGTAGGTGGCCCTAATGCTGTCCTGCTGCCAGCTCTGGGGAGGTGGAGGCTCTCCTGGCTGCAGCTGTGCCAGGATCAGCCCCACCAAATGCCAAGGGACAAGAGAGCCATGCTTCTGCCTGTCTATGCTACAGAGAAGACTCACAGAGGAAGATGGAGGGGAGATGATGAACACCAAAAACATGGAGCCTGCTTGAGCATTAGAAATATCAGTTCTGCTTTGGCTGGAAAATAGTACAGCAGGAGGAGCAAAGTGCAGAGCAGAAAGCAGAAGGACCCTGTTCATTCCCTTCTGACAGAGGCAGAGTATGGACCAAGGCAAAGCAGCCCTGAGGTGTCAGTTTGCAGACTAGAAAGTCTCTAAAAGAATGGCATGGGGCAGGCTGGGGAAGACAGGGCACCCCACATGACTGATCTCAAAGTGTCTGGGAAAGCCAAGACCATGCCCAGGGCCACAGCAACCCTTCCAACCCCAGCTCAGAGGTGATTGCTGCCTTGGCACTGTCCTTGACTGCAGGGCAGGACGTTGGACCCAGCACCACAACAAAATGAGCAGGGAACAACAGGTCTGCTTGGGCTCCTTGGCTGCCCAGAGGCCCAGAGCAAGATTTCTGCCCTTTTTGGGGAACTCTGCCCTAAACTGGGTTAAGACAGCTCAAGAGAGCATGCAGAAGCACTCCTGCCACAGTCACCATGCAGCGCCTGTTCCCCTATTCCCAGGCATCTACCCTGGCACTGCTGGGCTCTGCTTGACTCTCCCACAGAGGGTTTGTGTGAACATGGCCATCACAGCAGTGCAGTGCCCCGGCACTGGGAGCTCCACAGCCCTTACATAGGCTTCCACTGGTCTGTGGCTCACTGTTGGCTGTCTGAAGGCTGCTGGAGGAGCCTTGCACTGCCCAAAGAGTTGTTTAGGACCGTGTCCATGATGCAGGGGGAAAGATGCAAGTCCAGGCCACAGAGAGAACAGCCCTGAGGTTGCAGCACTCACATCCTGCCCTGCCTGTCAGTACTGATCCTGGGAGCAACCACAGGCAGGCTCAGCTGGGAAGGCTGGCCAGGCCTCAGAGCAACCACCCAGCCTAGCTGCTTTGGACATCAGCCTTAATGACCCATCTGGAACAGGACAAACTGAAGTGGAAGTTTAGGACTGAGAGGAGAACCAGGTGGAAGCATGGACACATGTCAAAGGCAGGTCACACCTGCTGCTTTGAAAATCTCACTTGGAGAGATGACTGCCAGGAGCCCAGCTGGGACACAGCCACAGGCAGAACCGAAGCAGCACTGGCAGCATGTCCTGCGGGGGTGTGGCAGCCTCAGGCCAGGCACGGATCATCAGGTCAGGGCTTATCAACAGAGCTAATACCCACCAAAACCTTGGGAAGAGGGGACTAGAGAGGGTAACAGAAACACCATGAAAACAACCAGTGACCATTATTAATATCTGACAGCTTTGTCAGTGACAAGAGAGATGGAAAGAGTTGCAGGATCCAACACACAGTCATGGACAGGCAGGAAGGAGCAGCCAGCACTGAAGCAGTGGGCAGAGGCCACAGTGGACAGCAAGGCCCAAACTGTAGTTTTGGTTGGCACTGGGTGGTCCTGCCATGCTGCCCAGACCCCTGCCATGCTGCCCAGCAGATCAGCTCAACTGGCAAGGGTCAGTCTGGCATCACAATGCTCTGAGGCATTGATGGAGAACAACAATTCAGGCAGAAAATGACACAATACCTATAAAGCCCTCAGCTGGCAGGAATAAAATAATAGGGTAATCGTGGACCTATAGAGACCAAAGCCAAAGGTAGGCATGGGCAGTGGGTAGGACATGTCTAGCTGTGTGACACATTTCAGAGGCCTTAGTCTCCAAGCAGGAGGGGACAGTTGGACCAGCATGACTCTTGTCCATATAACAGTTCCTAAAAAGCCAACCTGAACCCTCCCAGACAGGCACTCTCTCACCCCATCCTTAAGATGGGACCCACCACTGCCTCAAGCCTCTGACATTTTGGAATACCCTGCATGAGGCAGATCCTCCACACCCCCACTCCCACCCCCAGCACTACCTCTGCCTGCCACGCCAGAGTAGAGGCTGAGAGCGCGGAGGTTCGCCCAGCTCCCAGCACGGCAATTGTCTCGCCGTCATCATCCACAACCTTGAAATCCAGGTCCTCGTTGTACTTCCTCCTCTTCACCTGCCGTCCTGAGCGTCGTTTCTGTATACAGCATGAAAAAAGGCAGTGCCAGGAGGCACAGATAGACCAAGTACCTCCTCCTTGCTTGAGTGGCACAGAGAAAGCCCCAGGGCTGCCAGAATTCCTTCCAGGCCCCAGCAGGATGGGGGTGGTAGGAAGAACAGGCACTCCTTGTGGTGCTGAGATCTCCACCCTGGACCACAGAGCCCCACCAGTACCCAAGACGTGAGGCAGAGGAGCCCTGTAGAGATGCAGGGCATGCAGCCCCCCAGGCTGCAGGGCCAACGTGTCTCCCTGTGTTGTGCCAGGAAAGGGAGCTGCCCAGAGCTGTGGTGGAGAGGGACACTCAAGGCTGACACATGCAGGGCTCAGGGCAGCAGTGTGCACACAACCCTGGGCCAACAGCTGACTTCAGGCTGATAGAAGCTGACCACAGTGCTGAACATGCTCTCTGATTCCTGTGCCCAGAGGCCCTTGTTGTGGTCCCACTGAGAGGCAGCCAGGATTTCCCCCACCAGCAGCCAGCTGAGGGCTTTGGACATACCTGGCTGTCAGCTGACTCTGCAGACTCCTCTGGGCTCTGTACGGATGGGCTCAGGAGATCCTGATCCAAATCCAAACTGTTCACTGGTATCTCATTTTTCCTCTTCCCTTTCTTCTTCTTCTCCACAGGGGTGTCTTTGCTGCCAAGGCAGACTGACAGTTAGATCATGTCCTGGGGATCCCAGGGGAGAGGCAGCAGGCACCACACAGAGCACTGCTCCCACCAGATCACCCAGAGGCTGCTCAAGGCTTCTGGGGCTTCCCCCAGCACTGGGGATCCCCAGTTGCTGATGCTCATTAAGGACACCAAGTGTTTCTCCATCCAGCTCCAGAACACTGGGATGAAAGGGTCCCCCTGCCCTGCCTGGTGTGAAGGCTGGGTGCTCTCACCAGCCAAGGGAACAACCTGACAGGGGTTGTAGGAGCTCCAGGGGATCAACTCATGGGTCTAGCACAGGCACAAAGAGGATCTCTCCACCACCAAACTCAGTACGCCAGGGCAGAAAGGTGCCTGCTCTCATCACAGAACTCCCAAACACATCCTGTGCTGACCAAAGGCTGACCAAAGTCAGAAATAAAGTTCAGCAGCTTCGGAGGCAACCCATGTCCTGGCACTGGAAACAAACCTTCAAGCCCAGTCTTAGGAGCACTTGCTACACTGCTGGCCACCTCCTGCCTGTGCCACAGAGCCCTGCCAGACCCCAGCAAACCTTTACACCAAGCCCAAGCTGCTCCAGTTCACGGTTTGTGTTCCTGAGTCACAGCACTGAGCCCCCTCCCGAGGCAGCTGAGCAGACTAGCATGAGCCTCCAGCTGGAGGGAGTTAAGCCCTGTGACTGCCACAGACACAGGAGGATGCAGATCCAACTCCCACAGGCACAATGGCCCATCACAGCAGTCACTGCTCACTCCAAGGGCCCGCTGGGAAGCTCTGTCCCACCAGGCAACTATTCTCCATGCTCAGGTCATGGAGGGGATTTGGGCTCTGCACCCATGAATCTCACCACCTTCCTGAAAAACATGGAAAGACAAGCCCAGTCCCATGGCATGTTCTCACAGTAAGGGCCACCTGCACCCCTGCCTGCACAAGGAAACAGGACCAAGGAGCACCGTGGTAACAAAACAACTGCTCACAGCATGCCAGTCCATCCTTTCCCTCTGCAAGGAACACTGTTAAGAGAATGGCTCCAAAGAGCTGGTGCTTGTCCCAGGGCTGAGCAATGCCTCCTTCCTCACTTCTAGCCTCACCACTTGTCCCCTCCACATACCAGATCTGCACAGTGGCAGAGGAACCATTAGTTTCAAAGTGATGTCAAGATTTTAGCTCCATTTAATAAGAAAAGTCTCTTCTTGCCTGTGACTAGCAAAAAATAAAGGCAAAAATCTGTTGTTCAGGCCAAAAATGCCCTGGCCATACATATACGCTTAAATTAGAGGCCCTGAAAATACTCTGTGAGCAGTGCTTCCACCAAACAATAACTCCCAAGATACTGAATTGTAAGTCACAATTAATAACTGCTTCATTCATGAGTCAGTCATTGACTATGATTAGAAATAATTTAGAAGAAATTATGCCACAATTATCTGCCACTTAGAGAACTCACAGCAATCATTCCATCCACACAGAGTACAAACTAACCAAAGCCTACTGCTCACCTCTCCCCTCCCTGTACCGTCAGAGCCCCTCAGGCACCTCCCCAGCTCCATGTGGCCAGGGAGCACAGGGGGATACACAGCCCTGCTCCCTGCTGAGCTTCCACCCTGACACCCATGGCCATCCCTCACACAGGGGGGTTTGCTGGTGGCTGACCCAGAGCCTAAAGCAAGTCTGAAACATGGCTCAAAGGGGGGCTACAGAGGCAGAGAAGTTCTAAGGAGGACCCACAGGCTGGGCTTTCCCAGCAGCAGAGCTGGAACTAGGTCCTTCTGGAAGGCCTAGATGAGTGGGAGGAAGCACCACAGGCTCAGGCTATACTGGGATAGAGCATCAGGAATGCACAGAGCTTTGTGGAACTCCCAGACTACCAAACACCGTTTCTTCTGGCTGCATGATGTGCTACAGAGTTATATTACATTGTGTGGTTTGCATGAAGTGGCCTCTCCACCAGGGCTCTGCTGTACCCAGCACAGCAAGTTGGCTGCCTTTCAGCCCACCATGATGCCCCCAGAACCTGCTGTGCCCAAGTAGGAGAGCCAGGGTTTCCAAATCTGCAGCTGGGGTTACCCTGCCATGACCCCCATCTCTGGCAGGGTGATTTGTCTACCAGCTACTCACAACAGGTTGCACATACATGGGCTGCCCTGTATGCAATCGTCAACACCCTGCAAAGGCACTGCTGGACCTACAAGAGCCATGAATGCCTTCACAAATCTCCAAGGTCTGTTCTTCCCCTGGCTTCCCCTGCTTTGGTCTGGTCCCACAGGTCCTACTGCAGGGGCAGATCTCTGTGAACTGCCTGTATAGTAGGTCCTTACTGGTGGAGCAGAAGTGTCATTAGGAAAATCTGATAGCTGCATCCCTCATCCCAGGACCCAACCTGGGGTGCAATGCTGCATTCACATGGGCTTCATCCTTCCCTTCCTTGCCTGCAGCCCCTCTCCTTCCCTCTCCATCTCTATCCCTTTGCTGCAGCCTTCCCTGGGGCCTGGAGGAGCCCATCCCTCACCCTTGCAGCACTATCCGCTTGATCCGCCCATCTCCATCTGCTCTGCCTCACCAACTCATTACCAACATCTGCAGAGCTCTGGGCTCAAAGAAGAACACAAGTGACAGCACTGCATGGCTCAGGGATCTGCTGGGGACATGGCACCCAGCTCTCGTCCTGCTGAGCAACTCACACCTCCTCTTGTCCACAACTAGCCCATACCAATGGCACGAAAGGCCACCCCAATGGCAACTCCACAGCCATGGCCTCTCCAGGATCTGGCTGTCAGTGAGCTCTGAAGGAGGAAGGCCGTGGAAGACCAAACTAAATCGGTGCTCTTGAGACTTACTCTGCTCCCTGCACACACTCTCCATTAAAAAGAGACCAGAACTTCTGGCCAACCAGCCTGTTAATTAAAAGGCTGAGGAATTACTAGAGGCAGTGGCACTGGCCTGTGCAGTACAAGGGAGTCCTCAGGCTTCCCTCCACTGCTTGCTTTGACTGTCAGCACCAGCCCCACAGCTGCCAAAAGGAACAAGTCTTCCAGGAGAGGAAGAGGGGATGGGATCTGCTCCACCATCCTCCCAAACCTGAGCCAAGGGTGTGCAAGACCCTCATTTGCCCACAGTCCAGGGCCAGGTTTTTCTCACTCACATACCCTCTGCCCAGGCCCCAAATCATATAAGACAGGCCCTCCACCACACACCACCTCACTGTCCTGGTGGGACATCTCCCTAAAGTCCCTTTTGCTCCGGGACGCTCAGCACAAAGGCCAGACCAAGGAGACACCAAGACTCTCCGGTCCTCTTAGGAATCTCAAGTCTTATGGAGCCATATCCCCAAAAGAGCACCTGCCTGTCCCATCTCTGCATGGCCAGAGAGCTCATCCTGGCATCCGAACCAGAAAATCCAGCCTTCACACCAAGTATCCTGCACACCCAGTGCTGCTCTCTCCCAGATGCAGCTCATGCAAGCCCACAGCCCTGTCCACAGCAGGCATAGGGAAAGGGCCACACCACCACCCACCTGCTCTTCTTGGATCTTGATCTAGGGGCTGGCTCAGAGCCACTCTTCTTGTCTTTAGACTCCTTTGGAGCTTTGGGTTCCCGAGGTTTCCGGGGCTTCTTAGCCACCTCCCTCTGCTTAGGCTCCTTCGGCTTCTTGGACTCCTTCACCTTTTTAGGCTCTTTTGGTTCTTTAGGCTCTCTCCTCCTCTTTGGTTTCACCTCCACAGCTGCTTTATCTCCCCCTTCCTGCTCTCCCAGATCCTTTTTCTTCCGTTTCTTCTTCACCCCTGTGCCCCCACTGTCCTGCATCCCGTTCTGGGCACTTGTCCGCTTCTGGGCAGCCCCATTGGGCTCCTCCTTTGGGCACTGGCACTGGCCACCTGTGTTTGTGGCTGTCACTGTCACCTGGTGGGGCACCTTGTCCTGTTCCTCACTGCTGGCAAAGGTATCCTGCGTCTTGCACTCCCAGGCAGACGACATTGGGGAGAGGCTCAGTGTTTTTAAGCTTGGCGGCTGCAGAGAGAACACAAGGCGACAGGTGAAGCAAATACCACAGCTGTAAACAGCAGGTGTTCCAGGGGAACCACAGCTCCACAAGCCTCCAACCACCCAGTGCAGCATGGCAGCATCCCTCAGCATTCGGGGACTATGGCTAACAGCCACCATGAGCAGACACAGCTCAACAGGAGGACCCCACCCCATCTCTGCCCAACAGAGGCTGACAGAGGCCTTTTGTCTCCCCACTAGCCCATGCAGGTCCCAGCAGAGGTGGCTAGCCCCAGTGTGTGCCCCAAACATTACTCTGCCTTCGATCAAACACTCCAGACTCCACTTGGCTAAGGCAAGAGCAACCTGTGCATCCACAGCACTTCCTGCCTGTTGCCCCGAGCCAGAGATTGTCCCAGCAGGGCAAGGAGAGGGAATTAGGGATGCCTAGCAGCCTACAGAAACAAAAATAGGGTTCCCAGGTCCATCTGGGGCAGAGCTTGAGGAAGAAGAGAACGTTTAGACCAGCACTGTTCACAGGAGCTTCTGTGTGCCGGGGCTCCCTCCAGGCCAGGAAAGAACAGCTGCTCTTCCTCCTTCAGCACTTCCTTAATTTCCTGTGAACTTTCCAGCACTGAATACTGAAAGGAATTGCCCCCAGCAGGCATGACCAGACAGCAGCACTGAAGGGCCCCACACTCCTCAAGCAGCAGTAGGAGTACCTGCTGTGAGGGCTCAGGCTCAATGTGTAGCAGCCTTCACTCCAGGAGAGCAGCCCAGGCTGGCAGGGCTGGCAGGGGACAGCCCAAGGAAGGGAGCTGTGGGTGACAATTCTCAATGGGAACCGGAAACATCCCTTGCAGCAGCTGCCAGAGCAAGAGAGAGCAAGGGATGCACAAAGGAGCAGGTAGAAATACAGTTGTGTGCTGCACGGATGGGGAGAGGAACATGTTCAGCTGCTCTACCGGTCAGTTCTCACCCCCAGTGCCCCAGCTCCTCCTAACACATGGCTCAGCCACGACCAGAGGGAAGCAGTGGCCATTGCTGGGCTTGCTCACGGCTAGGGGGCTCATAGGACAGCACCAGACCAAGCCCAGCAGCACGACTGGGGCTGGAAAGCTGGTCCTGCAACTGGGGGCTGATGGCAGTGCCATGAGACAAGACACGGGCCCTTTCCACCAGCCTGGAGATGCCACCTCCTCGTAGGGACCCTGTAGGGCAGCTGGTGAGTGGCCCAGGAAGTGCTGGGCAGCATTTCCTGTGCCTGTGGGGACAGGGGCAGTATTTGCCCTGCCACCTCACACACATGGCTGTCCTAGGCCAGGGGTACTGCTTCCTTCACAAGCCCCTTCCCTGGTGCTGAAATGGAGAGATGCCAGTGCCTCTGGCAGCAATGCCCTGGCTCTGCAGAACCCCAGCACCATCCAGTTCCTCAAGACACCTCAGAGCTGTGGGAGAAATGCAAATCTTTACATCTTACAGGCTGAGAACTGCAGCCCATCCAGGGCTATCTAGGCACAGTGTGCTCTGTAACACTCGGACTTCTGATTTGGATCAGATGGAAGCATTGAATGAAATAGACTGTAAGTGGAAAGGACCCTGACACCCCTGCAGCCCCCCACAAGTGGTGTCAGTCAAGCAGGCTGCACCAGCATCCCTCCCTATGTGCTGCCACCTCCAGCCCTGGCCCCTGCTGCTGGAGTAGCTATCACAGCACATCCCACCACAAGGACCAGCCATCACAGGGCACTTAAGGAATTAAAGGTCCTATTCAGGACCAGGAGAAAATCAGCACTATTGATGCTGCCTCTGGGACCACTGGCTATACAACGGGATCAGTCCCAGCCTTTGCATGCTTCAGCTCTTGCAAAATGGGGACCAGCTGCAACAATTTAGAATCACAGAATGGCCTGGGTTGGAAGGGACCTTACAGATGATCTACTTCCCTGCCATGTACAGGGACAACTTTCACTGGACCAGGTTGCTCAGAACTCCATCCAACCTTGACTTGAACATCCCCAGGGATGGGGTACTCACAGCTTGTCTGGGCAACCCCTTCCAGTGCCTCACCACCCTCACAGCAAAGAATTTCTTCCTAATACCTAATATTATATAAGTATCTATATATGTGTATTTCCTCCTAATATCTAATCTAAACCTACTCTCTTTCAGTTTGAATCAATTCCTCCTTGTCCTGTCACTACATGTAAAAAGTGACAAGTCCCTCTCCATCTTTCTTGTAAGCCCCCTTTAGGTAGTACCCCTGATAAGGACAGTAGAACAGAATAGCATTTTACTCACTTGATAAGAGCAGTAGAACAGAACAACATTTACTTTTGTCAAGGACAGTAGAACACAACAGCACAGCCTTGTAGAAATAGATAAAGGATGTAACTTAAGCAAACAGAAGTCATGCAAAATGCAAACAGGACGCCAGCTCAGCTCTACAAGCCTGGCATAGTAGAAGTTAGGCAAAACAACAATATTGTGCTTACTCAAAAGCAGGGGTTGAGAAACAGCTACCTAAAATGGAAACCAGAAGTTGAAGATAGACCCCAAAGAACCATTGTAAGGACTTCTGATAAGGGGTGCAACTACGTAAAATAAAGCCAAGGAAGTGTGGGGATAGCTAATGAATATGTAATTAGTGTGCATGATAAAAACCCTCTTCACCCAACACTCATCCCACTGAAATGGAGGAAGGATCACCCTGAGTGACCAGCACGCTGCAATAAGGAATGCCTTCTTCTAATACTCAAAATTGTGTTACAAAGTTTCTATCCAGACAATTTGAGTATCATTCTTTTAGGTAAGCACCCCTTAGGAACTGGAAGGCTGCAATTATGCCACCCCTAAGCCTCCTATTTTCCAGGCTGAACAAGCCCAATTCTCTCAGCCTTTCCTCCTAAGAGAGTTGCTCCATCCCCCTGAACTACCTGGTGGGCTCCTCTGGACTGGCTCCACCAGGTTCATGTCTGTCTGGCACTGAGGACTCCAGAGCTGGATGCAGCACTGGATGCAGGTGGGACCCCCACCTGAGGGGACCAGAGGGGCAGAATCCCCTCCCTTGACCTGCTGCCCACACTTCCTTTGATGCAACCCAGGACATGGTTGGTTTCTGGGTGCCAGCACACACGGCTGGACGTGTGCAGCCTCTCATCCACCAGCACCCCCAAATCGTTCTCATCAGGGCTGCCCTCGATCTGTTCCTGCCCTAGTCTGGATCAGTACTGGGACTGATACCCAATCTACACTTCCTTAAAGATCTGACAGCTCTGTTCCACTCCTTTGTCCCAGAGGGCAGTCTCCCAGGGAATCCCACCGACTATCTCCCTGAAGAGCTGGAAGTCTGTTTCCCTAACACTCAGCCAGCACCTTGGCCTGGGATGTCTATGGGAGTCAGGTGTCACAGCCTGCTGTGTCCCAGCAGTGCTGGTCCCAGTCAGCAGTGACTGTCTCATCTGGAGCAACCAGAAGCCTCTGGTGCAGGCCCTGCCATGAACGGGCTATTAAATACCATCCTGTGGGACCCAGGAGCACAGCCAGGGCTCGCAGAAGGAACACATGCACAGAAAGCAGGGAGACCAGGCTGCTCCCACCAACTGCTGCCAGCCCAGAAACCATACTCAGAAAGCTGCTTGGTCTGTTTTGAGGGGAGAATGCTTCATGTTATGCTCCTGAAGCCCACAGCAAGCTCTGGCCATGCATGTAGGACTGTGCTGCCAAGTACAGGCTGCAGCGAGAGACTGGCACACTGCCATGAGCCAGGAAATGTGTTTTTTCTACTATCCCTTGATGAGGTTCAGTTTATCCTGGCTTCTTATCAACAGGAAAAGCCTAAGAAAGCAGAGCCAGCTTGTGCTCCTGCATGGCTCCAAAGCACTCTCATTGCTTTGCCTCAGGAGCCCGGCTGGTTCCTCGTGGCAGGCAGGAGCTCACTGTCCCCATGCAGCTGTTGTCGAACATTGGCTGCTATCCCTGTGCCACAAGGGAAATCACCTCTGCTTCCAAAGTGTGAGAGCCTGAAGGGCCGGTGCAACACTGATGGGGACACAGCATTCACTGCAAGGAACTCTGCTGCAGCAGCAACCTCGGCCTGAGTGGCCTGAGATACAGCAAACAGACTGCCCACTGCTTGGCTGGGCTCCTGGTCACTGTGTGCAGCCACGGCCAGCACTGACATACCACCATACTCAGATGCCTTTCACAGGAGAGGAACACATGTAGCTGCAGGAGCCTAAACCTGGCAAATTATAGCCCTGGGACATGCTGCAGCACAGCAAGGCAGGCTGCTCTGGGTTGCTCCAGACCAGCCAGGAGCTGCTCTGGGCAATGCTGACCCTGAGGGGGCAGGAGTGGGGCAGGGCAGGCTGTACACCATCTGCCCAGGCTGGTCCAGCAACAGGCTGCACCCACACCACGATCAACCCACCTGTAACCCTGGGTACCAGTGCACCTGGGTCCGTTCAGTACTACAAACTCATAAGGTATTGGGGAAACCACTAATTTTGGTTAAATCCTGCTGTCCTCCTAAGTGGCTTCTACTTCTCAAGGTGCGAGGGGGTCTCCTTGTCACACGCTCTGTACAATTCAGTTTTGCCATCCTCTCCCTGCAGAGCTCTCTTGGCCCAGCTAAGGCACAGGTACAAGTCGCCCTCTCCTCGCAGGTAGGCTGTGCCAGCTCTCAGGCCACCTGCTTTGTCCTGCTCAGCACTTCTTCCAACCCCACTGTCTATGGAGTGGCAGTAGGAAGCACATAGCTTCAGAGGTACCACAGAGCAGTAGGAGGGTTTCTGCCCTGTTCCTTTTCCCTTTACAAGCCACAAAATGCACCCTGGGACAACCAGTAGGCAGATGCCAAACTCTGCCAGTGCTTTACAGTCTCCTCCAGGAGCAGGGACAGACAGTTCTCCCACACTTTACCAGGAGCATTTTGAGACTTGCCTCAACCTTTCAGCCTCCATTTCTATTTCAGCATCTCAGATGACTGTGGGAATCAACCAGCATTGTTTCTTCCCCAATCTCTG